TATTATATCTTTATAAAGGGACAGTTAATATTAAACGATGATCGCTTCAACTTTAAACATCACTCACCTGGTTTTAACCAATCCCCTTTAGGTAGTTTGGCAACAACTTCTACCCTCCCATAGGTGATGGAAGCTTTTGAATAGAGTTTTGCCGACATGATAGGTGCAATTCCATTTTTGGCTCCAGTACGGTAGCATCCGTCGTCACTGATGTATGTACACGTTCCCCATTGCTCTGGAAAAGACATGATATTCTGTACCGTGTCTTCCTCAAGAATTATGTTAGAAGTGAGGTGAGGTGAGGTGAGGTGAAATTGGGTTTAACGTCGTACTTGAGAATATTTCGCTCATATGACGACGTGCATGCGTGTGTATGTGTATGTGCGCCTGCTTGTACTAGCCCAGACTTAAGCTGGCTTTATAGTGCTAGCCCACTGAGATACCATGCCGCAGTGAAGCATGAATACCCCACTCAGACACTCCGAGCCGACCAGTCCTTGTTGTACCTATTAATGCCGAGCGCCAGACAGGGACCAACAAGTACCATATGTTAACGTCTTTTGGTACGACGCGGTCGGGGATCGAACCCGCGACCTTCCGCTCTCCGGGCGGACGCTCTAAACCACTACACCACGGAGGCGGTCATGTTAGAAGTGAAGACATGGAACAGACAGAATATCCTTTACCGTATCTTCCTCAAGAATTATGCTATGCGTGAAGACATGGAACAATCAGGGTTCCATTTACCTTATCTTCCTAAAAAAATACGTTAAACGTGAAGACATGGAACAAACAAGATTCCCTTTACTGTATCTTCCTCAATAAATACTTTAAACGTGAAGACTTGGAACAAACAGGATATCCTTTGCTGTATCTTCCTTAAGCATTATGTGATACGTGATATATGGGACAGACAGGTGTCCTTTTACCGTATCTTCCTCATGAATTACGTTAAACGTGAAGACATGGAACAAACAGGATATGTAAAACGTGAAGACATGTATCCATATGTATCATGTTATATGTGATACCTGTTTTCCACAGTCGGATAATGATGCATTTGTCTACCTCTGGTACAAACCCAATTATGCTTGTGTGTGACTTGTGGTGACAGGCCGCTGTTTAAGCAAATTTTGTTTGCTGTGTTGGATTTACACTGAGTGTTTTATGGGGCAGCTAGTATGAGAGATCGGCGTCGTCATGTAGGTATTATATTTGACCATATCTAACAGAAACTAATCCCTGTGTAATATGAAGAGACACTTTTTGTCAGTCATCTTAAAGAATGTTTGATCGGCATTCTAGATGTTCGACGATAACGAAGATAACAACTTTATGCAGAACAACTTCTTGTTCATGGAAAATAGCGACATTTCAGTGTAGCATCTGACACCTATATCTGTTAAAACAAGCAGCAGATTAACATTAACGACAACGGGTAATTGATAATAAATAGCACATGACAAGATGAGGGCGCTTCAAGAAGAAGAACAGCAAATAACACAAGTCACGAAGCTTATGCACAAAAAGGATTAAAATCTGATTTGGAAGATACATGTAGTTGAGTAGTTGACTGACAGTGTTCACAAACCTCTGATCAACAGAGATCATGAATATTACATACGCACAAGCCCCGTGCTATGCTACAAAACATTTTAATGATTTTTATAACAGTTTATAAATGGACTGGATATACTTTGTTTACGTTTGTTTTACACTGAATCTGCAATATTTACCCTATTGTTTTGATTTGGCAACTTTGCTTTTAATACTTTCATGCTCCCATTGTATGACATTGTTTTTACATTTGAAACACTGAAAAAATCTGTACAAAGGTCATGATTAAGAGTGACCTGATATTAAAAATCTGGTTTCAAGAATAACATAGGTATATACAGAGTATTTATACTACGAAAAGGATATACACTCATACCACAGACTGTCATCTATTGCATAACCATACCAAATATCTCTATAAATTCTGCACATCTGAATGAAAACACATCACTTAATCTCTTTGAACTCTGTACATCTCAATCAAACATATCACTTAATCTCCTTGATCTCCGTACATCTCAATCTTTAATCCCATCTCACTGGCCTTCTATACGTACTACATATTTGGCTTGTAAATCACATTCTGTTATTCACCTGATGAAGGGTCGAGAAGTAGCCTAGAAACGGCGTGTTGTAAATAATAAAGAAGTTCTAAATCCATACAATACGTTGCTATGTTACCTTCCAACTTTTAACCCGCCGTGATGTTGCTGGAATATTGATAAAAGCGGCGTAAAACCAAACGCAGTCAGTCAGTTCCAACTTCTAAATGCCCATTAAGTATCTGGTTTCAAGCGTGGAACATCGGGAAAACTTACTGCGAACATCCAGAACACCATTGTGAAGAAAGCTTTCTCCAAATTTGTCGACCGTAAACGTCTGAAGAGGAAATAATGATCTTAGAATGGAAGTATAGTTGGATTTGAAAACTGTCAAAACATGAATGATAATTAGGCTCTTAGTTCAAACATTCGGCATTACATCCAAGAAGCAACAATAGGTTTATTACAATCAGTTTTAATTAATAAATACCTGTACCCAAGAATACTTATGATGCAGACATATGGTGTTGGTAAAACGAGTATAATAACCATGCGTCCTAGAAATCGCTGACTCTGATATACTTCCAAGATGACCATACTTGAATGGGGAGAGGAACCTTTAGTATACCACTGTGTCATAAACGTTAAAAAACCCGACACAATATTGCTTCCATAAAAGTCACAAGTTATGCATTGAACGTCTAGGGTAACAGATATATTCACCGATGGACAGCCCGGATTAGAATGTGTCTTCCGTCACCCATGCTTGTCGTAAGAGGCGACTAACAGGATCGGGTGGTCAGGCTCGTTGACCTGGTTGACACATGTCATCGTATCCGAACTGCATAAATCGATGCTCATGATGTTGCTCACTGGATTGTCTGGTCCAGACACGATTATATACATACCGCCGTCATTTAGTTGGGATATTGCTGAGTGTGGCGTAAAACTAAACTCACTCACTCACTCACAAACGAAATTATTGTACCGGTTTGATGTAGAGAAGGCCGTTTTTGGTGTAGCTGTTTGCCGGTTCTGGTGTGAACATTTGGAACTGCCCGCCCTGGAATAATACCCCAAACGTGATGCATTAACTCTGGATACATGTATTATAACTGCTATATATGGCATTTTGAAGTACGGTGAACAAAGGAGATAATTCTATTCATATACAACTTCTACATTTTAATAACTAAGTTTCGTTTCAGATACTACTTATCACGGACGTGATCACCGTTAGAGTCTCCATCGCAACTTGGGTTTCATTGTAATATAGAAGTGTTTTATATCAATGGGATTATCTCCTTGCATGTATTTTGTTGGAAAAATGGCCATTTTAACAGTGTATTAATCAAATATAATATATATGACATTATCGTGATCGTGTATTTTCCTTGATCCGTAACTAAGTTAATTGCAGTCCCCCGCTTCAAAGTGAAAACGATACACAAGCTACAGTCTGTTTGCAGTGAAAACGTACCGATGAATTTCACTTTAAACAAAAAAGTAAATCAAATTAAGTGAAATTAAGATTGCGAATCCTCATAATGTTACCTTGCCAATTAAACATATAAATTTCAGAATTTTATTCAACTTAGGATAAAAGTTGTTTAACCTAGACGATCATAGATTCAAATCGCTATTATTGGTTTGTATTACAAGGGAGTAAACGCAGTAATTGGAACAGTGATACAAATACACGTGCAGTACGTGATGAGCGTTAACTTAGACCAACCCTACTTCTTCTCGGTGTTTCATTTAATGTGCATACTCCCTTGTAATACAAACCAATAATAGCGATGTGAAACTATGATCGTTTGTTAAACAACTTTTATCCTAAGTTGAATAAAATTCTGAGATTTAAATGTTCAATTGGCAAGGTAAAATCATGAGGATGCGTACTTCTAATTTCACTTTATTTGATTTACGTTTTTGTTTAAAGTGAAATTCATCGGTACGTTTTCACTGCAAACAGACTATAATCACATGATGACCAAAGAGCTTGTGACGGACCAGCCTGTCACTAGTATTAAGCTGAGTTGCGGACAGGTTGACTAAATGATGAGGTAATGTGTTACTGGTAGTACACATTTGAACCACCAAGGCCGTAACTTTGATTTTAGAGAAATGAAAACACACTTGCATTTTTAGCACTTATCGATGTTGTTATTTACTGACAAAGCAACGTAAAGGTTCATTGTCTAATGTGCATCTGTTTGGCGCTAGAAATTGATTTTCCGCAAACCACGTCATTTTGTGTTATTTACCAAAACATTCACGACAGTTCGATGGCCAAAAACTTATTGTTTTGGTCACATAAAGAGCCCCAACCGCTCAAAATTAAATTCTGTTTGTGTGTCACTTGTGCTCAGACTGAGTTAATCAGTTAATCTCACGAGTCCGGCGATGAAGATAAAGATCATGTGGTGATACATCCGAGGCCAATCTTACCCCGGTTCCCCGGCAAGTGACTTCATGTTTCCAATTTTTGCTGTCAACATAATGATGGTGGAATTCGTCTAACAGGACGGTTGTTCCGCGTCTGTACAGTCGAGGGCTGAGCGATGATGCCGCTAGATATCGGAATATATAACAGCATTATGAGATGGCTGTGTGATCGACTATTCACTCAGCGTTTTCTCAAAAAACAATCAAAATGAGGCAAAATTAACCAAAGCGCGACAATGCGACAACGCCACATTTCGGCCATTTGCCGCATTGCCGCATTGTCGCGATGTCGCATGTCGCGTTTTGAAAAATATTTTTTTAAATTTCTCCAAAGGGCGACAGTGCGACATAGCGACAATTTTCAAGGTCAAAATATGTCGCGTTGTCGCATTATCGCCCCATCTAAGATGTGTGACAAAAGCCCAAAAATGCGCGACAACGCGACAATGTCCCTTCAAGGATTCCATAGTTTACGTCCTTATACATCCACAATTATTTTGACAAAAATCAAAAACATATTTTTAAAAAAAACCCACAAAAGCATGTTAGAAACGAATCCTTGGTATACATACGTGGGATGATGTATACATCATTAAGTTGATGAAGAACATCTCCGGTTGCAGATAAATATTTTACTGAATATTCCAGCACATCATTGTCAGTGAATTCCCTCTTGCTTTGAATCCGGTAGGTGAAATATCCATCAGCTGGGAAAATAGAGATAATGCGCAACTGTCACTGAAATGTTTGTTGGAGAAAATATGCTGCTGTGTTCTGGAATTTTGAACCTGCAGGAGTGTCCTCGTGTCACGAAAAATAGCTATCTTGTCTTCATTTGGGACCTATGACTCGGTGGACTTGTCTCATGTGACATACACTACCGAGCAAAAGAAAGTTATTACTTTTAAGGTAATTGTATAATAAAAACACTGGTACAATCGGTACAGGTTGTGGATCTTACATACATCTTTGTTTCTTTTTTTATGGTCAAGTGAAGTCGGTGATAACTTTCGTTTGCCCGGTAGTTTATTGACTTGCAGCCTGTGCAAACTCATTTTCTTATTTCTTCTAACGCTACACTCAGCAATATTCCAGCTATATGGCAGCGGTCTGTAAATAATCGAATCTGAACCAGACAGTCCAGTGAGCAACAGCATGAGCATCGACCTGTGCAACTGGGATATGATGACCAGGTAAGCGACCTGGCAACCCGATCCCGTTAGCATGGTTTACTGAAGACAAATTCTAACAATATCGTCACTAATTCTATTCGTATCTACACCCTCTACAATTCTTTTATAACATCTTTCAACAGGACAGACCAACGATCAGAAGTACACGAGTACCCATGCTAAGAACATTAATTACACTACACATTAACATTTAATATTGTCATATCAGCCATGACAGAATTATAATCTAATAAGCACAATTTATTGCCAGACTATTATTTTTACCTTGTTTATGCAGTCTGACGGTGTTGGTCAAGTGAGGTAAATGAGCCTGTTGCTTCACAAGACGGAGAGCGTACGACAGTTCTATCGTATCAACACCAGGCACATCTGCCAAAACAAAATACACGAGTTACATGCTGTTATTTTAGTTCGAAATTTGTATGGATTGGAAGCATGTTAGCTGGAACCACTCAGTCTTTCTAAAGACGGGTAGGGAAGACACAGTTTACACCGACTTGCAAAGGTGGTTCAAATTAATTATAAATGAAAATGTTCTAACATGGTATTTGATACAGGAAGCAGCTGTTTTGGGGAGCTACAATTTGCAAGGTTTCGGCTCCTCGTTTCCACCGAGTAACATTTCATAATAAGTGCATATTTATCAAAACAAATTTGCAAGCGTATACATTCTCATATTCATGACTATTTCTGAGTTTATAACTACACTGTTATTGGTTCCTTGTCTTTGTTTTGATAAAATTAATTTAGAAAAGTCTTTTTCAATGAGCCGGTAAATACGGGCAAACCAACCAAAGGTTAAATGTCCACTGATTGGTTGGTAACATCATTTGATAGGTGGGGCTTGTGTTGCAGTATTGCGCCGAACTATGTCTTGTCTTACAGAGTTATAAGCAGTAAGGGGAGATATTAACGCTTTGGTATTTATTGACAGGAAGTGATCTAAATACTTTTAAACTTTATGCAGATACCAACGATTAAACCATTGTTCCAAAGCCTTGTTTTACGTCCATACGTCCAGGATCGAAACGAAAAGATAACTTCATAAAAGACTTCATAAATATGTTACAGAAATAACGGACGTTTAGTAGGTAATGTTTAAAGATGTTCTGACACACCCACTCACTTACTAACCAGTAACATCCGTGGTGATAAATGCTGTGCCATTATCTAACTTATCTCAGATATAGTGGAGAAGCTGTCCTGATCCTATTTAAACAAATCATCAGATACGCCAAACAATAATTTCAAATTATGAATGAGTTTTTAGGAATGTAAGCGTGAACTATTAACTATATATTAAATGAATGGGATCACAGTATTTCAAAATAGCTGTACGCAAAGTTGTGGGCACTGCCCACACGTCATCTACTACAAAGTATCAGAAGAATCCGATGTTGCAACAACCACGATAGACGTAGCCGGAGAATGAGTTAATAATTAGACATAATACCTTAAATAAAATTATTTTCCATGCCAACAATATTCTGGCCAGTTGGTACCATGTGCATATGGTTATTATATATACTCATGGCATCGAATAAGGGAATACATGAAAGTGTTTCTTTATTCTTTTTCAGGTTTCTCTACAAGCTTTGTATTGCACTGTGGGTGAAATTCTTGATATACATAAAGGAACACTAGTACTTTCATGTGTTCCCTTATTGGTTCCATGAGTATATGTTTACACTTACATGGGAAGGACAATGTGTCCCCTTTATTTGCTTCCATGAGTATATGTTTATACTTACTTGGGAAGGACGATGTGTTCCCTTATTCGCTTCCATGAGCATATGTTTACACTTACTTGGGAAGGACAATGTCATTCCATTCTTCTCTGTGTCTTGTTTGATGGTTGGCTGTAAAGACGCACAACAAAGCCCGACAAGCAGAGTTGCGAAGAAGACGTTGATGGGCATAATCTTCGATATCGAGGCAGCCACTGTTAGCCACCACAGAAGCAGTGTCTGGTTTCTGTGCTAAGATTGTGACAATATATCTCGCCTTATCAGTCAGTCACTGAAAATGGCACAAATGCATGACGCATGTATCTGAAGTATTTTTAATATCCCATATTACCTTTCCTAATGTCACTTAAATGTACTTTTACATACCAGTGCCGGTATGTAGTCCAGACTAAACGAATGGAGAAAAGTTGATTGAAGCACACAACATTAATGTTTCCACAGGTAAAGGGATAGAGTTGGTCTTGTCTAAATCGAAAAGACAAGGATGTTAATTAAGTTCGAGGGTTTGAAGGTGTAACGTTTACTGAAATTAGTCAGTTTTTAAACGAATGTGTACTTTTAGATATACCACTTGAGATAAATGTATGTTACTCATCGTTTGAGATGAGGCAGTTTGGCTATGCTGAATACAGATAGTCATCTTGTCGAGTATTACCGTTCCTTTATCTGTTACTTCTTGACGTTGAGCTCGCAACATCAGAGTTCACGGTAAACTTATTCATGAAGTGAACCTTAATGTGTAAAATAATATCAATTTGGTCAAGGACATTCACCACAGAGCGGCGTTATTACTGAACAACTTTCAAAGTACCATCGTGCGTGAATCAGTATAGAATATGTGACTGTTTATTGTGATGTATTGTAAAACTGTCGCTTTGTATTTTCATTTTTGGACCCGTGAAGCTCCGGGTTAGATTTGGTCTTCAGCAAACATTGCTTGTAAGAGGCGACTAACGGGATCATCGGGTCGGGCTCGCTGACTTGGTTGAACCATGTCATCGTATCCCAATAGCGTAGATCGATTCTCATGTTGAACATTGACCACTTGATTTTCTGGTCCAGACTCAATTATTCACAGACCCGCCGCCATATAGCTGGAATATTGCTGACTGTTGCGTTAAACAACATCCAAAATTTCATTTTTGACACACTTACATGGAGGGAAGCGTGTACGGGTAAACTGTCCAGCAACTGCAAAGAACTACTTTGGTTTTTGATAAAAACAAATCAGAAAAAGTCTAATAGAAAGAGTGGCAGTCAGAAAGGTAAGGCAAAAATTCGTGTATCTTATCTGTCTAAATTCCGATCCACATAACAATGTTAACAATGTAGATGGGCAGAGACCATACACGATAGTCTCAAAACACGACGATAAAAAGCTGGTCTCAGAACATGACGATAAAAAAGACGGTCACCTGAACGGTCAGTCTGGGTAAAACATGACCTGATTGATGAAACAGCGATAAGCATATTTCACGAGCGGAAAGCAGGGGCAATCTCAAAGGCAAGAATCAGTTTGGGTCCAGTTTCTTATTACGGATGGGACATTAGCCAAATCTAGGCTCTAGAAAATAGAAATGAACAGTCCAAAAGAAGAATGGACGTGTGTTTCTTCTATGGGGCTTTCACTTAATGATGTTGCCTGTGTCTTTCCCCACTACAGTCTTTATTTTCTTTGCAATCTGTTTAATTACATTATACGCGTTTGTCTAGGCACTGTTTAACTGTCGTTTGCTGCCTCAGTTACTTGCTGCTTCTTTTACCTGGATACATACAATTGCCGAGATAAGCTGCCAGATTCACGCAAATGAGGTGTTGGCCACCACGAGTATATCCACGAGAGTAAGCAAAACTGTCAACAGCACCATGAATGCATGGTAATACGAAGTTTTTCCTGATTGTTCGTGGTCCCTGTACATAATCGAGTCAAATAGCATGAGCATCGTTCAACGCATTTGCAGTCTAAGTAAACTTAGGCTCAGTATTATTCGTTACACTGCTATACTGAGTCTAACAAAACCTTGTGGAAGGTCGCGTCAGCTGACCTTTTCAATAGACCAATCAGAACACAGCTTACCAAATTCGTTGACATTCGCACATACCTTTTGAACTTTTACCTCGAAAGAGTTTTGTACCCGAACGATTCCGAATGCTATTTTTCGTACGATCGCTTCCGAGTGATGCACATGGGGCACGACACAACAGTGAGTAAACAGTCGCTGAAAATAGCGTTTTGTCAGTATTCAAGGATGTCAGCTTTCGAAAATATTAGCTAATGATAGCCATGTCAATAGAAACCCAAAAGCGTATACTCTGCCGGTCATATATCTATGTTCTATGCTGGTTTTCACTTGTTGTGAGATCAGTGCTGGCGACCGGGGAAGAGAAAATCCATTTTGTAAGTCCCGCCAAACCCTAAATAGTAGCCGTTGTCTGATTGGTTAAATCCGTTCGGTCGTCTCGCGTTTGATTGGACGGTCATAGGTCGCTCAAAGGTTACCTGACGCGACCTTCCCCAAGGTTTTGTTAGACTCAGTATAGCAGTGTCACGAATAATACTGGGCCTAAGTTTACGAGATTGACGCATTTGTGATACGATGGCATATGTCTACCAAGTCAGAAAGAGCCCGACTAGCCGGTCCCGTTTATCGCCTCTCGGGGGCATCGGGGACTAAACCTTAAGGTTTTTCTAGATGGTTTTCCAAAGGTGATGCGAATGAACTATTATCGGGTCACAGTTCACCACATAGGAATGAACGATCAGCTGGAACCCTGACAACCACTTGTACACATATTGTAACACCAGAATCATGTATTAACCAGATGACCAGTTTGATAACTTTATTCCGTAACAGATGAATTTTATTCAAGGTCTAAGAAACCCCGTGAGAAGTACTCGCGCACTCAGATGCAATCTAATACTGTATCATCTTGACGGACCTGATCTTCATGGCAGCGTCTTCACCATGCCAAGTTGGCTGCCACTGGTGCCTGTTCTTCCAGAAGTCTACCATGGAGGTAGGCGATCCGTTCTTCCACGGTTTTCCATTAGGGTTATGCCAAGAATCAGAAAAGAAGACGCTATTGTCGCCGACAGCTACTTGAGGATGAGACCCATCTATAAATGTTAAGGCGATTGTCTTCACACCGATAACCAAAAGCTTAAATCAATCACAGATGATTTGAATTAACGACAGTGTCTTTATTTAATATGGCCTGGTGCTATCAATACATTAAGAAAAATGTTTATGAATTGAAACATATAACTAATCACGAGTTTAAAGTTCCCTTGACCAGAATACCCAACAACATCGGATCCTTCCTATACAACTGAACCAATACAACATTTAAAATGAGGACCAACAAAAATCCTATTTTCTTATGCATTACCTTCACTCAAAATGAATATATTTGAAAATTCAAATTACCGGTCCATCGAAAGGCGCATCTTTTCCCCCGCTGGCCCAGATGTTGTGTCCGGTCATGTGACTGTATGCCCATAAGCCTTGGGAGGGTGTTGACCAGGCCAAGACCGGGTGGTCATCTACAGATAGTCTGGTACAGGAGAACATACATGTCCAGATATCTGCTGTCCCAGTTTAAGAACGAAACACTAGATGTTGTTCCTTTAGTTCAACCCGTGAAGAACCAGGTTAGAATTGATCTTCCGGAACCCGTGCTGGTCGTAAGAGGCGATTAACGGGACACTGACTTGGTTAACACATGTCATCGTACCCCAATTGCAAAGATCGATACATCATGCTGTTGATCACTGGATTGCCTGGTCGAGACTCGATTGTTTTAAAGGCCGCCGCTACTTAGCTGGAATATTGCTGACTGCGGCGTTAATTAACAAACAAAACAATAAAAACTTTTTGCCATATATCTTCCCACCTTATGTGACCTGATGTCCAGTCAATGGAGTACGTGTGGTAGCGGTCAGCCCATACTGTTCCAGGGTCACTTACCCTGTTAAACAGAACACAAACATAAAAACACAACTTGCTGAACACACCGAAAAATTGTTGCAACAATTTGTTTATTTGTAGTCGTCATCCATGATTGTGATCGGACATGGGTTCAGATCCTATTCCGACCATTTATGGTACATGTAATGCAAGCATCATTGAAGATTGTCATTTTAAACCTCGACTGCATTGATTAAGATAGGGTTAGAGCCCACATGAAGCTCGTATTACTAACATAATGTCAAAAGTAGTGTTTAGAAGTACCCACTCATTCATAACGATAACTTGTTATCAGGGTGTCTGAACATATTCGATTTCCACAGGTGTGTTTGTGTTGGATGGAGCCATGAACATGTACCACGGCAGAAGAAGAACAATCATAATTTACGAAAAACGTGACACAAACAATGAACAAACTTGATGAGCAAAGGTAATGTATTATACAGTTGCAGTTGAAGGTCGAGTGTGAAAATGCGCGTAAAACGAGATGTCATAGAATACTTTCGACTGCAGCGCTTTACCAAATCATTATTGATATATATGCTCTGACAGCTTACGTTGAAACGTGAAATGGACCTGATATCATCGAGTTCGAATGGTTTTACGCCGCCTTTCGCAATGTGCAGCAATATCACTATAAGTGGTCTTCACACGTTTTACCTTTGTGGGGAATCGAACACGAACCCTCGGCGTGAAAAGCCAATGCTTTGTCCATACGGCTATAAAACGCCCTTTTGGTGATATGCGTGCCTCAGACTGAACTTGTTCAATACAACATGTACAACACAATTAGTGATATGTGAAGGATTGAAAATAAATAGGACAAAGAAGCTACAAATGTACCTTCCATATCCCTTACTATGATGCTGACCGGAAACACCCCAGTGGAGCGAAGACCGGAAGTTCTGGGCGCCATGGTTATTACCACTGCTATCCTTCAGGTTGAGGTTGCCTGTGAACAGTAAGGGGTTTAAAAAGAAACACCACTGTGCAGTACTGGAAACTGATGCTTACAATAGGTGTCACGTCAACCTCTTGGACAGTTTCCTTACGGTCACAGCTAGAGGTTTTCTTGCCACTATCTGAGGCATCAAACTACCTGGAAAGCAACTGGTGCCTGTAAGAATTTTTTTCCTTGAAATTTTAACTTTTATCATATGGTTGAACGGACACTGTGTGTTCTAAAGACATCAACATACAACATGTATTAATGTGGGTAGTCTTTAAACCTGTTCAACATATTCTACCAAACAATTGGATCTTTTTTATAGTTAGTATGTTGATGGAAGATAGAGAGTTGCATACATCAAATTTTCAGTGTTAGGCAAACAGTGTTAAAAAGAAACATACGTTACTATGCAATAACGGCAGTCATATGCAATTTGGAACAACACGGTTAACTGAAAGACTATCAATCCATTTTGTTTCCAGGATCAATCTTTTGAGACAAATCAAATATACCTGTAACTGTTGTCACCTCGCGTTGTGAATTTTAATGCATGAGTGACACCGCAAGCGTTTGTTGCAAGGACTATTGATTGTGGATTTGGCCGTGTTGGAGTATCTGTTTCGATTTCGCTTATTGCTAACAATAAGATGATCCCCTGGCGTTTACTTGTTGAACAGGTTGTTGGTGTCACATAAGATGTGATGCATATGGGCATGAAGGATCTATCTACCTGTCTATTGGGAAATTGAGCAAGAGTCAGTTTGTTATTCTTCTCTGTGACATATTTGGACCCTTCTGTTGCCGTTCATCTGAGTAGTGTTCTGATTGTTAATATGACATGGTTTACCGATAAATGTCCGATTTTACTTTTGAAATGCAAATATAGTACCTTTCATGGTCCAGGACCCTACTGACGTTTAAAACAATGACATGGACATAAACGGTGCGTCCGTAGCCACATAGCGATCGGTCAAAAACACGTCACGATTTAATTCTGGAACATAACTCATTTTGACTTAATTCGACTAATTAAGAGCCCTAATAAAATATATCGCATATCTCGAATATTTACTTTTACTCAAAATTCATGTTAAGGGGGTCGCAAATTAATGACAGTATGTTTATATGTATCATGACACAAAATTAATAATGTGAAACTTATCAAAACTAACTGATAGAGTAACAGCTCAGGGGCACATCGTGTATATCCAGAGGGAGTTTGACCATAACTCGTTCAAACATCTATGATTGAAGTAAACATATCACACTGGAGTCGTAATACTGAAAAGTATAACTTACCTCTAGCCTCCATAATGTCTATCTCGCCGGAAGCTGGCCATCCGCCATATTTCCATGGCCTTTTAGGAGGAAGCATCCATATTGCTTTAGTAAACATTAGATGATTAGTAAAAATGATTAACTAATACAGTTTTAAACCTCAATGAATAGATCAAGCTGTGATGTTTCGTTTGGAGTAGTTTGTTGTGTCAAACAAACATTCACTGTTAGCTTAAACATTGGCATTGATTGTTCAGGGCCCGATTTCTCGAAACAAACTTAAGTCTGAATTTTGACTTAAGTAAATTTGAGAAAACGCATTTCCCAGAATGAACTGAAATCGATATTAAACTCAAACATAGTAGACAGTTTGAGTTTGGTGAATAGAATACTTAAGTTGTTTGGGCTTTTTTTATTAAAAAACTGCATCTGAGTTCAAAATTCAGCTGTTTCAAGTAAAAACTTAAGTTTGTTTTGAGGGCCAGGTCTCGTTTCGAAATTTCGACTCATGAGCTGAACCATGAATGGTTTCTAGTATATACCTTAACTATTAAAGACAACAAAAACCTTTTAAGAGAGTATTTTTTTGTAAACCTTGCATGTGATTATCGGAAACATTTCAGGAAACAATAATGCCATGGAAAATCCAAAATAGTCACCTGGCCATAACCAATCTCCTTTAGGTAACTGTGCAACGACTTCTATTCTTCCGTAGGTGATGGAAGCCTTGGAATAGAGTTTAGATGACATGATAGGTGGGATTTCATTCTTCGATCCCAGACGGTGGCATCCGTTGTCACTGTAATATGTGCACGATCCCCATTGCTCTGGAAATCATATAATTCTGAGACATGCAATGACATGCGATGACAGACTGCAACTGCATCCTATTCCTGTTTACACTTTGTTCAACATTAACAGCCAGCTCTAAACTTTAAGGTAATTTGCAAATTTGCTTTTTGGATTTCATTCTTCGATCCCAGACGCTGGTATCCGTTGTTGCTGTAGCACGTTCCTCATTCCACTGGAAAACAGGAATTTCTGACCCATTCAATGACATAACAATGATCAATGGCTTTCATCCTGCTCCTGTCTACACTTGTTTAAGTTTGTAACAGCCAGCTCTGAACTTTACTGAATCCTTAGATAATTTGCAATTTTGCTTGTGTTAGGTACTGGAGGAGGAACACTATTCTTGACGATCCAGATTTTCTAGGTTATTGTATCGTGACGTATTTAAGAAGACATGGTTGGTTCCCCATTGCTCTGTAAATGACAGTTGTTTTCAATCGAGAAAAACAGTGACAACTTACTGGCAACATCAAGATCCCCATGGTAAAGAAAGTTTTCTCCAAATTTGTCTACAGTGTATGTCTGAAGAGAAAAATGTTGGAATAATCTCGCAAACATCGTATTACGTAAGGTGGGTTTGCACACATTACTAATTACGTCTACATTTAATCCTGGCATCAACAAATTAAATTTGCCCAAATGTAGCGCTGCTTCTGAAACATTTGTTAGATCTGCCCTGTAGTATGAAAGCAGTATTGCCACAGATACATTGGTTTTGTCCCGATTTTGACAGTCCCAAGTTTGACAGTGAAATTTCTCACTTCTATAATTAATATAGCCAGTTGTCCTAATTTTGACAGTGAGCTTTGGTACACTTGTTAGCTCTTCTCGTGCCCGTGTTTTCACATTACTAGTAAGGACATAGGAACCAATAGAGCTTTGGTCACGTTGATGTGTTTGTTGTTTGTCCCCTCTTCTGCCAACAGTCCCATCTGCTGTTGTAGTGACTGAGGCTGGACACTTTGTTTTCAGGCATTGACATCCCCATGGAATGGTACCATTCTTGTTGGCAGTTCGTCTCAGATACCTATATCCATCCAGCAACAAAACTGCACCTGGTCTCCTACCATCTTACCTGTACCCGAGACTATGCTTCAAGTTACTATGATGACTGCAGGTGTTTGTACTCTGACATACGACCTTTCCTGTCGCAAACGAGACTAACATGATCAACCTTACATTATAAACACTTCAGGTTATACATTAAAACAGAAAATAGTTTGGCACAATCATTAATGAAATCCAATTATTACTAAAATGATCGACTACCGGTCTGAGATAGAGGACGCCATTTTTTATGTAGGTGTTGGCAGCTTCCGGTGTGTACATCTGGAACTGACCACCCTGGAATGACACAAAATAACAATAAACTTTATTATCGTAACAAATAATATTGTGTACTGTTTGAATATAATCTGTATTGTTCTAATGTCTATTTACACCCGTGAAGATCCGGGTTAGAATTGATCTTCAGTATCCCATGCTTGTCGTAAGAGGCGACTAACGGGATCGAGTGGCCAGGCTCGCTGACTTGGTTGACACATGTCATCGGTTCCCAATTGCGCAGATTGATGCTTATGCTGTTGATCACTGGATTGTCTGGTCAAGACTCGATTAGTTACAGACCGCCGCCATATAGCTGGAATGTTGCTGACTGCGGCGTAAAACTAAACTCACTCACTCACTAATGTATATTTATGGTATCTTCGAGCGAATCTTTACGATACATAACTATGATAACAGCCATCTTTCTTCCGAAATTCTGAACCTTGAGTTTTAAGACCTGTTGTATCACTTGTTTTGAAACTGCGTTTTTCAATATATTTTTTATAATGTATCAGTCTTGACTGGTTATTTTCTGATTTCAGTAAGTTCTTTTGAGGATTACCATCTGGGTTTCAATAAGGAAATCACCCACAACAGTGGGTCAGGGCGCTTGGTACCCTTCCTAAAGCGGTGGACCGTCACACTAAATGTTCTACAGCCTCTCAATCAAAATCTCTTGCTACAGTCTCTGCTAAGGCGTGGATAGTGTTAAATGCGGTGTCACCCTCCACGGGGTTAGGTTTCAGGGCAATGGGGTAGCCTGGTAGTTAAAGCGTTCGCTCATCACGCCGAATTCGAATCCCCGGGCTCGATTCCCCTACAAATGTGTGAAGCCCTTTTTTCTGAGTGTCCACCGCCGTGATATTGCTGGAGTATTGCTACAAGCGACGTAAAACCAAACTCACTCACTCACTCACTCACTATTAGGTTTTAGGTCTGGTAGGTAAAGCAGTGATACACTGGTGGCAAAACTTACCCCTCCTCCAAAGCAAGTTATTTCATGTCTCCATTTGTTGCTGTCGAGATGATTAGTGTGAAAATCGTCGTAAAGAACGGTTGTTCCACGTCTGTACAATCGAGGGCCGAGCGATGAAGCAGCTAATGTCGGTATATGAAACAGAATTATGAAATGTGTGAATGTGAGAGAGGGATATTTCGTCACATTATTTTCATGACACATAAAATTAGATAAAAATATAAACAAAGTCGACAAAAGACAGTAACAACAAGAATATCACATATAAAAAATTTAAAAAGCACGTAATCCTAAAATTATTTCACTATTGGTTTTGTATTTGTTTGTTGTTTTACGCCACTCTCAGCACTGTTCCAGCGAGAAAAAGGTGGTCTGTAAATATCGTTCCTGGACCAGACAATACATTGACTGCATCATGAGCATCGATCTACGAAGTTGGGATACAATGAAATCTGTCAACCAATTCAATAGCCTGACGCCTCATAGGACAAGCATGGGCTACTGAAGACCAATTTTAACCCATGCCATGGTATCCCAGTTGCATGTATCGATATTCACGTGGCTTGTCTGATTGCTTACAGACCGCCGACATATAGCTGGAATATTGCTGAGTGCGGCGTTAAGCAGCAAACCAACCAACAAATATGTGAGAGTGAGTGGTTAACCCTGTTTAACGCAACAATACGTGGACATTAGAAATGGGCTTCATACATTGTACCCATTTGGAGAATCGAACCCGGGTCTTCAGCAAGGGAACGCTTTCACCACTTCAGAACCCCATCGTACCGACATTAATTGAGAAGAATCTGAGATATGAAAGATATGAACATACCCGCTGAGTATCACAGATCCTTAGATTATGCCCTCCCGCAAATCATATTAGAGAATTTGAAATGTTATCAAATAAAAATATTACTTAATACGGGGTGTTTTAAATCAATATCAAATACCCTTTAAAAAAAAATTGTTTTGATATATGATATTGACCATTTAATGTTACAAATGTACCACCGATTTACATATGTGTAATATAACATATAATGTATACATCATTATGTTGATGCAGAATATCTCCGGTTGCAGATGCATATGTATCCCCCTTTCAAATAGCAACAACAAACGAACACTAAAACAACATAAAACCAACCAAAACCAAAAATGTTAATATGTGATAATATTTATATGATTATTTATGAATAATGCAGTTCAACCATTGTTCAACCATTGTTGTACGGTACAATAAGTACTGTACGCTTGCTTGAAACACTAAACCTTTGCCTATGAACCATGGGTGTACATACCTGGGATGATGTACACATCATTAAGTTGACCAATAACATCTCCAGTGGCAGATAAATACTTAACCGAATAGCCCAACACATCATTGTCAGTGAATGCGCTCTTGCTTTGAATCCGGTAGGTGAAATATCCATCACCTGAAAAACATGGAGATACCATCAAAGCAGTCACTAAAAAATTTCCACGAGAAAAGTGACAGATGTGCACTGGAATCTTGCAAAGGCTATGGTGTTCTTGTGTCACAAGCAAAACTATCTTATCTCACATTGAGAACACAATTTATGACCTTGTAAATGTGCCTTCTGCGAGGACCAAAATCTTCCTTTGGCATTCAGGATAAAAACGCTTTTGAATAAATCAGAACCTTAAACTTCAGATGTAAATACCATTTCTACTCCTTACAGAACGATTTCAGTTGCAAACTCAAAACCTTGAAGAAAACCTCCCTTTGACATTCAAAAGAAAGACGTTGTGTATAAATCAGAAGATTAAACCTCAGATGAAAATCTTTTCTTCTCCTTATTACAGAAAGGTTTCAGTTGCAAACTCATGGACCAAAAACCTTCCTTTGGCTTTCAACACAAAGATGTTTCTGTATAAATCAGAAGATTAAATCTCAGATGAAAATTCTTTCTTCTCCTTATTACAGAAAGGTTTCAGTTGCAAACTCATGGACCAAAAACCTTCCTTTGGCATTCAACACAAAGATGTTTCTGTATACATCAGAAGATCAAACCTCAGATGAAAATCTTTTCTTCTCCTTATTACAGAAATGTTTCAGATGCAAACTCATGGACCAAAACCTTCCTTTGGCAAACAGAATAGAAGCAACAAATTACTAATTGTTTGACATCTTTCTACAGGAATTTGTCTTTGTGACAGAATAATGGAAAGACCAAGGATCAGAAGTTTCAGAAACAACTCGGGTCTTTACAATGTGTATTTGTACACGAATACCCATGCAACAGCTACACGCGATTAACAATTAGTATTGTCATATCATCCAAGACAATGTAATAAGCACAATATATTGTCAGACGTTTATAGTCACCTTGTTTATGCAGTCTGACGCTGTTGGTCAAGTGAGAAGCCTGAACATGTTGTTTCAGAAGATGGAGTGTATACGAGAGGTCAATCGTATCAACACCAGCCACATCTGCCAAAATAGAAGCTCACAATACATGTTATTTGTTTTCGAAAACCAATATGTATGTGATTCAGATAAAGTTGAACAAACGTAACTGTGATGTTATATTGGAGAAGTAACGTGAGAATGGACGTCATGGGCTGGTGTAGGTGGTAAAAGTATTGATTGATGCATATGCAGACTGTAAAGTGTTTGTGAACAAAGTAATACATGTTCAATTGAGTATTGATTAAGTGAGTGATTTTAGTTTTACGCTACTTTAGCAATACTCCAGCACTATCACGGCGGGGGACACCAGAAATTGTCTTCACACATTTTGCCCATATTGTAAGGTGAGGCGAAATGGGGTTCAACGTCGTACCTAAGACTATTTCGCTCATATGACGACATGCATGCGTGTGTATGTGTGGATGCTTGTACTAGCCCACCAGCAGACTTAAGCTGGTTTTATAGCGCTAGCTCACTGAGATACCATACCGCAGTTAAGCATGAATACCCCACTCAGACACATTATACTGACTCCGAGCCGACCAGTCCTTGTTGTACCCATTAATGCTGAGCGCCAGGCAGGGACCAACAAGTAGCATATTTTAACGTATTTTGGTATGACGCGGCCGGGGATCGACCTCCCGCTCTCCAGGCGGACGCTCTAACCACTACACCATAGGGGCGTCTCTCGCTTAGAAACAGCGTTAGAAAGACTAATAGGTGTATATAAAAGGAAAGGGATGTAACGACGAAACCACCCTCACCACGTAAAATATTTTTAAGGCCCCGCCGAGGCCTACGAATCGAAAGCTAGATTGTCACAATCGGATCATTATTTCAAAGTTATACGCCACAACTCACCGAAAACAGCTACCTCCACAATTCCAAGCCAAAATCATGTATCAGCCAAGACAGCGAAAACTCAACATTTAAATTCGTTAATTAATTCCAGCCACGTTGACCGCACCTATGTAGGGATATATTCGATCGGCAGCCATATTCCACGGGTCTAAAAACTGATTGCAACATCTACATATCATTTCCTCGACAGTAAGCAGGCATTTTCTATAAAATCATCGGCAATTTTTGCTCATTTTGTAGGGAAATCATCTAGCTTTCGATTCGAAGGCCTCGGCGGGGCCTTAAAAATATTTTACATGGTGAAATCTAACTTTGATTGAGGAGAGGGTGGTTTTGTCGTTACATCCCTTTCCTTTCATATAGTAATAGGGTTGGGTCTATACACCTATATGTCTTTCTAATGCTGTTTCTATGCGAGACACGGCCCTATGCACTACACTACGGAGGCGGCCCTGTACTCACATGGGAAATCGAACCCAAGTCTTCGGCGTGACCATACGGCTATCGCGTTTTGATTAAGAAGTGGATGTAGTTATAGTGTACATGGGCGTACATTCCGGACATGAAACAACAACGCCGCGAGTTATCGTGCCCCATTAAATATAAGAACAGTGGTGTAAAGAACCAATGACATCCATCAACCATGACAGCGAGCCTGATCCTGATAGTCACAGCTTACGACAAGCATGGGTTGCTGCAGATTAATTGGAACCCCACTGGATAAGTATTCCTTCTACAATGGGTATAAGACCTACACATAGTTATGCATTAGGAACAACATAGCACAGTGATCTGCGGCGCTCTAGACAACCGGGCAACCACTGACACTGAAATTACTAGGGCTGCGCAATATAACCGGTTTACCGGTATTTACCGGTTCAGACATGAAAACGATACGTATTGCGATACGCTGATCGAAAACCGGTATTTTGACATTCGGAAAACTTCGTAACACTCGGAAATCTTAAGATATTTCCTTATTTCATTTGGCCAAATATTATTCACATTTTTATTCTTAATCATGAATAAAAGTTGTTATTAAAGCTTAATCAAGCATAGTGATTTTGCTGTGTATTTGCTCTATAAATCAAGCATTACCTCGATTATAAGTAGTTGTTTGTATAAAAATACTTCACGCAATACATGCTTTCGCATCACAATATATCGCAATATGAAAATTCTCTACAATACCCACCCCTAGAAATTTCTATGTGGAATAATCGTATGTTTTACACTTACAGGGAAAAGACAGGGTTATTTCGGTCTTCTCTGTGTTGTGCTTGACAGCTGGCTGTAGAGACGCATAACAAAGCCCGACCAGCAGTGGAGTAAAGAAGTAAACGTTGATGACCATTCTGGTTAACATTGAGGCCGCTGTTGGCCACCGTCGAGACAGTGTCAGTGACAAGATTGTGAGCCCACAGGAATAATATCAGTACTGTGTGACACAATCGCGTGAGATTCCTATCTTATCGGTCTAATTACAGAACAAACTGCTGTGCACATCCTACACGTAGGGACGGTGGGGTAGCCTAGTGGCTAAAGCGTCCGTTCGTCACGCCTAGACCAGGGTTCGATTTCCCACATGGGTACAATGTGTGAAGCCAATTTCAGGTGTCCACCGCCGTGATATTGCTGGAATATTGCTGAAATTGGCGTAAAGTGCAATGGAATTGCAGTGGACTTATTAAGAAATTTGACTATAAGTTCAAGATCATAAACCATCAGAAATGTTTCTCCAAGAGACGTATCTTATAATACAAATACATTTGAACAGAGGCAGTACACACGCCAACATGATATTATGTTCCCCTGTGGGTTATAAAGCATACGGAGGCGCTACTATTTCAATTAGACACGATGTCATTCATAGTGCGTACATCTCAATACTAATTTTCAAGCCGTTGCTGTTCGCTTAACTTTGCATATTGCATTAACTGAGTGCCCTTTATATATTCCACCTTCATATGCCCTTCGTCAATCTGAACCTCCGAATCTGTATGATAAGCTTCTTAATCCCTGAATAACTACGGGCGATTTAAATGGGTATAACCCTCTATGGGTGAAATACGAGCAGAAACAGTAAGGTCAAAGTTATTGAAGAGTTTTATTTCTGATAACAGTTTATGGTTTTTTATAATGATGATTCAAACACGTATTAACATTCAGGCACTGGAACATATCCTGTCCTCGATCTGTCCCTTGCAGACACGACCCATAAAGAGAATGGATCTCCAGTAGCCCATGCTTGTCGTAAGAGGCGACTAACGGGATCGGGTGGTCAGGCTCGCTTACTTGGTTGACACATGTCATCGTATCCCAGTTGCGTAGATCGATGCTCATGCTGTTGGTCACTGGATTGTCTGGTCCAGTGATTATAGTTTTGCACCACTTTAGGCAATATTCCAGCAATGTCATGGCAGGGGACTCCAGAAATGGGCTTTACACATTGTACCCATGTGGGGAATCGAACTCTGGTCTCCGGCGTGAAGAGCAAACACTTAAACCACTACCCCACCACCACAATAGGACTTGAACCAGCGATCATATTCTTTTGGCATCGTCACCCGCCGTGATTCATATCCATTAGAGAAAAGTCCATTCAGTCTAATACACGGCACCACCTTGCCAACAGGAGGGTAATCAAACATCCAGACATAGGAAGTATTAATGTTTTAGTGCTCATGGTATCGTCATGAACGCGTACTACCTCCGAGCCACTTTTGACTTCTCCAAGTACTGTTTTCCTCTTCCCTTTTGGAAAGCGAGGCACTGGAAGGGGCGTAAATTTAAGTGATTCTATTGTCAGCCTCCTCCCCATCAACCCCCGCATTGATTCCAGATCGGGTGGTTTGCTACCATAATTGCCTTCCTCCTGAAATAGTGCGTCAACAGAAACATAGGAAGTGATCTTGTTCAAAGAAGACTGGAACTCTTCCAGAGCCCGCTGTGACTGTTGCAACTCGGACAGGACAGTGTTGAGTTGGGCCATGTTATCTTTATGTGCTCTGGTGACCAGCTGCTCAAGGGGTGCGTAATGGTCCTCAACTAAACTAATCCATATACTTTTCTGGGTATCAAGAGCAAACGCAACTGCTGAATAGTTGTCCAACGCTTTCTGTTTCTGGTCATGTATCCGAGACAATGAACTGTAAACGCCCTTCAAAAGAGGCTGCACTTTAGCCAAGTAACCTGTAGCTTTGTTCTGTATGCGCGGAATGGCATCTTTCCAGGGGAATTTAGATTGACACCGTTTATGTCTCATAGCAATGCATTCAACACATTCAAGTTGGCTGCAGGTTAAGCAAAACATACTTTTGATTGCATTGTGTAAGGAACACGTGCTGACTGGGCGATCTGTGATCATCAACTTCATCTTTTGCTTCTCATGAACAATACCCTGGAGAATCTCATCAGTACGGAAGCGCGATGCATAGTCTCTGCTTCCACGTGCACTCTTGGGGATTTTGAACGGCTGGTTGCATAAAGGACAAGGGGCTGTAGTTGCTTTCGGTCTAGACCCGATAAATTGGTTTAGGCATGATTTGCAGATCCGATGTGTACAAGGTAACATTTTGGGGTCTCCGAAGACCTCGGTACATATTGGGCACTGTAGATCTTCCTCTGCTATTCCACCTGTAGCCATAGTTCACTGCAACATGTAAATATATAACGTAAAACGTCTGAGTAAGGGTGATCCTGACAAGAAAACTGGGGCCGGTGGGTTAGCCTAGTGGTTAAAGCGTCCCTCCATTTCACCCAGCCCATTTCTGGTGTCCTCCGTCGTGATATTGCTGGAATAGTGCTAAAGCGGCGTAAAACCATACTCACACACTCCATTTCACCCCTTCTCAGTCAGAAACTGATCGAAGCGTCGATGCATAGACCATATCGCAAGAGTTATCTACCCTTGAATCGGTCCACACGAATTGGGGAACTCGGGAAGCGACAGTGGATTTGCCAGTCGAGCATCAAAGCGTGAATGGAATTTTATAGAAAAGGCGGGATGCATGTTCCATTCTGATTTTACTATACGAGGCGTTTAATCGAGTTATTTTGTTGAAAACGTGCCTCGAATTCGTCCCTTTAAACCATTCTACGGAAGTATATACCCCAGCCTTACCCAGTAACACACTCAGATAACAACCACGGTCACTCATAAGGTGAATGCTCGACGTTGAGCAACATGCAGTGGTTGCATGTTTGTGTCGTGAGGCTTGGCAACCGCCATTGAGTCACCCGTTCATGTACAACCCCAGGTCGGATAATGTACCCCAACCCGTATTCAGCCTGGATTCAGTTCTGACAGATCCGTATGTGACGTACGGAGTGTACGGGTGACCTCAACTAACAGTAAAACCGCAACTGCATAGTATTCGAGCATTCGTATTCAACTTGCTTACCGTTTGTGTACTCCTCGTTGACAAAGATATCGTTTCCGGGTAATAGCTGTGACGTTGAACAAATTTGCAAAGGGAAGTAGCTCTGCCCCCAGGTTAGGCTTATCGTTAAGGAAGCGTAATATAGTACACTCTTCGCCTTGAGTGTAAGGATTGTACAATTTGTTAGCAGACGAATTTTGAAACCGACATATTCTAACCCTTTTAATAGGCAACAATGCCGAATGAATTTATCTTGTCAGGTGATATGGAGGTATTTTTATACATTTGATGAAGGAAATCTGGCGAATTTGAGGAATGCGAATCGGGTAATTTTTACAGAGTACAGATAATATTGTCAGCTGCAGCTGTAAAAGCTGATAATTCATTAAAAGGATGAGCTTATTTATAAATAAAATTAACTGTTTTTCGTAGTTTCAGTCCAATATTGTTAATCAGCATGACAGTAAATAATTAATTCATGCATTATATTAGACAATATGTACTTTTCGATTATATCCCTTGGTCCATATTTATATAGACGAGCGAATACATATAATTTTGATAGTTAGGAGATAAACCTACTGTGTCTAGAAATCTGAGGTATATAACGAAATTATAATAGCGTGAGGTTTTAAATAAAAACTTTAGAGCTATTATAATTTCGTTATATACCTCTGATTTTCAAACACAGTATGTTTATTTCCATTCTACCATAAACGCGTTATTGAGACTTTCAAAAAAATACTTACTGTGTTGGAAAATCAGAAGCATTGAACGTGGGTATGTACCTCTGAATGACTTTAATTAATCAATCACAATCCACTATTTACTGAAATCATGGTAGAATAACGAATAAACTCATTTAAACTAAAAAGGAGCCCCAGTAAGATGGGAAATTCAGAACCTGAACCTGAGGAAATCTAGACTTGCTTCAGTTAAGGTTTTAGCATTGCAGGGAGGGTTACGCAGAAGTGAAAATAATGTGGTTCAGGGACTATGAGACAGACTAATGTTTATATTGCAAGGAAGATGTGGGTAGCCCAGTGGTTTAAGCGTTCACCCGTCACGCCGAAGACCAACGTTCAATTCCCACTTTAGTACAATGTGTAGGCCAATTCCTAGGCTCGCTGACTTGGTCGACATATATCATCGTATCCCAAATGCGGAAATCGATGATCATGCTGTTGCAATTGATCACTGGATTGTCTGGTCCAGACTCGATTATTTACGGACCGTCGCCACATAGCTGGAATATTGCCGAGTGCGGATTTAAACCACAAACCAAACCAACCTAATGTCCACCGCCGTGGTATTGCTGGAATATTGTTAAAACTGACTGACTGAGTTTGGTTTTACGCCGCTTTTAGCAATATTCCAGCAACATCACGGCGGGGAACACCAGAAATGGGCTTCACACATTGTACCCATGTGGGGATTCGAACCCGGGTCTTCGGCGTGACGAGCCAACGCTTTAACCATTAGGCTACCCCACCGCCCCTGTTAAAAGCGATATAAAAGTATACTCACTCCCTCATAACATCCAAAGCACCAGTCAGCAACACCGCCATTTTCGCTCACTTCATGAGTGAGTGAGTTTATTTTTACGCCGCTTTTAGCAATATTCCAGCAATATCACTGTGGGGGACAAGAGAATCGCTCACTTCAAGGGGTTGAGATCATGATGTTCCAAGCGTTCGCTCTACACTCCGAGCACCCGGGTTCGATTCCCCACATGGGTACAATGTGTGAAGCCCATTTCTGGTGTCCCCCGTACGATATTGCTGGAATATTGCTAAAAGCGGCGGAAAAATAAACTCACTTATTCACTCTTCACAATGTTCCATGTGATATGTTCAACCTGACAGAAAAGACGACTTCAAAAAGGTGTTTGCTGCACACGATATGAACGCGGTTGCCAGGATTAGAACAATAGTTATCAAATGGGCCATAAAATATCACAGTGTGCTTGTCAGCACGTGCACAGGCAACGCGAGGTTTTTTAACCCAGGGAGGCGAACAAAGTCGAAGTGTCTTGACCCAGTAAATATTCAGACAATGCGGAGGTTTGTTGGGCGCTCGGATGATGAACCGATCCAACTGATCTATATAGAAACTGCGTTAACAGCCATGCCAGATTGTCTTACGTAGAAACGTGATGGAAAGTTAAACAATATCAGTCGTGTTTTGATAGCGATTTACAATGGTGCTCTTGTCCCAGCCCGTTGCTTGTCACATATGGAAAACCCTAAACGCTGTGGGTGTCCCTTGACTGTGACTGGAGTCAGTGAGTTTGGTTTTACGTCGCTTTTAGCAATATTTCAGCAATACCACGTCGGAGGATACCAGAAATGGGCTTCACACATTGTACCCATGTAATGAATCGAACCCGGGTCTTGGGCATGGCGAGCGAACGCTTTAACCACTACGCTACCCCACCGACCCTTGTGACTGGATGGGGTAGTCCTGTTTTTAAGCTTTCGCCGGTCACACCTAAGACATCTGTTTCATTCCCGAGATTGGCGATATATGTTCAAGATATTTTGGTGTCCACCTCTATAAGGTTGGTAGATTATCACAAAAAGAGAGGTGAAATTTTAATCTCTCATCCTTGAAGATCCTGGTTAGAATTGGTCTTCAGCACCCCATGCTTGCCGTAAGAGGCGACTGACGGTATTGGGTGGTCAGGCTCGCTGACTTGGTGCACACATGTCATCGTATCTCAGTTGAGAAGATAGATGCTTATGCTGTTAATAACTGGATTGTCTGTTTCAGACTGAGTATTTACAGACCGCCGTAGGAATATTGAGGAGTGCGGCTTGTAACAACAAACAAACATTCACATTTCATCTCTCATTTTCATGCTGAGAGTGTAAGGCGTACACTTCAGCGTGTGAGTGAGTGAGTTTAGTTTTACGCCGCACTCCGAAATATCCCAGCTATATGGCGGCAGCCTGTAAATAATCGAGTCTGGACCAGACAATCCAGTGATCAACAGCATGAGCATCGATCTGCGCAATTGGGAACTGATGACATGTGTCAACCAAGTCAGCGAAACTGACCACCCGATCCCTCTTACGACAAGCATAGTCGCCTTTTGTGGCAAGCACATGGGTTGCTGAAGACCTATTCTATCCCGGATCTTCACGGGTCGCGTATACTTCGGCGTGTGGTCTTGTGCATAGAGTTCAGGTCACGATCAGGTGAAGTTAAGCAACGTTGTGCGCGGAGAGTCAATGGATGGGTGACCGTGTTTGGCAACTTGACTCCTGAGAGTGTTACAACGAAGCACATGAGATATGCAATCTCACCTTTGGCAAGTGAGCGAGTTCAAAATTGTCTCTGTTCACCCAGCAGAACATGGGTACCCGGTGGGATAAAGCATGCAACCACTAACCTTCTGGAACAGGCAGCTTGGGTTATCCGGGATAATAATAATCAGATTGTTTGGGCGCTTTGGGCATGCATTGTGCATGGAGAAATGCGCATGATAGTATTATTATCACTATTATCATTATTATGAGTTTCTTTTGCATTGTGTTACAACGTTAAGTCCAATCCCTGCACACAGAGAGGACCGCAGCCAATTAATGACACAAAACATATTTGGAGCAACCTTTTATTTATTCTCTTTTTTTTCCAATTTATGATATTATTGTTAGATGAGGTTATTGACTTTTTAGCATTATCTGTTTGTTTAAATTGTTGTTTAACACCACACTCAGCAATATTCCATCCACACGCTTGTTCATTTATTAGAGACACCTGCCAAGGCAGACAAGTTTGATGCCAAATTAGGACGATGTTAGTCACGTTTCCACGGACGATTCAAATAACCCGAAATTCATTCATATATACTTTTTTGTAGTGGTTACAAAAAATGCTTGATCTTTTAATTAATTTTAAACTTTAAATTCGTAAAAATGTAAGTATATCAGTGATAATCTTCAAGACGGTTCAATCTGTATTTTGTAACGTCGGCTTCAATGATACTTGTGTTTAATGGAGTTCGAGTTAAGAGGTATTACCACAATATATTCTTAGCCAGCTAGGCACGTAATCTCATCTAACACATACATCTAGAGTGTCGCCCTGAAGAAGTGTTTGTTTAAATCCGCTTTCAGCAATATTACAGATATACGACTGTGGTTCGTAAATAAATGATTCTGCAATTGACATTATGAGCATCGATCTACGCAACTGGGACACGATGACATGCATCAACCAAGTCTGACTACCCGATCTCGTTAGTTGCCTCTTACGACAAGCATGGGTTTCTGAAGATGTTCACGGGTCGGGAGTGAGTCGACTAACCGTTTCAATGACAATGTAATAATTACTATCAGGGCATGTCAGCTGATTGAAGTCAAAGACGTACGTTCAGCAGAGCTATACTGCTGAAACACCTAAAATGATAATCAAGGCGAATCTGGGGTTCCTATCCATAATCACAGCATTCTGGCACATCTAAGGGAGGTAATTCTGTGTCGTGAGTTCCAACGCTTAGGACGACATGGTCACCTATAGTCCCTTAAGATGTATACTACTCAAAGATGTTAAAGAACAACCACCTCTTTCAATTCACTGTGATCATATTTGTCATGCATGACAGATTCTTTCTCATTGCCATCCTCACAGACGGTTACTGTCATGTGACAATGGTTCTTTTGCCATGCCGGATGAAATATATATCTAAATGAAAGAATCCGGGTGTTGTTTGATTTCTTTTGAGTAGTATCTACAGGTCGGCTTTTCAGATTGAACTGACATTTTACATAACAACATTTGCTTCATTACATCAACATCCAAAGGTATACAAACGCCATCTTATGATATAAAATTCGATGTTGTTTTCGGATACCATACCCGTCTACAAAACAATATTGACACATAATATATTTAAGAAAGATGATTATTTTAGTTGTACATGTATTTAATACTGTCTGACGAATAACACTTTCGGACATCAAAGTTGCTACACCCTCAGCATAATTACTGAACAGTTAATCTCTTGGTTTACGAACATTGACTATTGAAGCGTTGACGTCTTCATTCCTATCTTGGTAACCCGTAACACTCCCGGAGTCTTCATGGATGGGTGTACATACATTATATATGAAACGAATGAGGCCTTTCACTGGTCCCTTTCTTTTTGGGAATTCAGTTGGAAACTCAATAGAAGTGAATTTAAGACGTGATCCTAATTGAATAGTGTCAGGCTATGGATGTACTTGGCCAAATTCCCTGTTTTGATTTTCCAACATTCTGGGTCAATCGTATTTTTCAGTATAAGCCATTTGTCATGGAATATCAACAAATCAAAAGCATTTGTGCACATTCGTCAATTTGATTGATGCAGGGGTTATCGTCAGAATAACCTGTTGACGGATCATGGAGTCATGGATATGTTCTTCTGTATGTATCAAGACTCTTACGAATGTACCCTGAAGGAGGAGTTTCCGAAGTAACGGAGTTTCACGTTACACCATGAGCAGCCTGAGAAGCAGCAATGACGTGTCATACAGAAAGTATATGTCATACAGCATGGGCGTGTCATGCAACAAGGACGTGTCATACAGCAAGGACGCATCATACAACATGGACGTGTCATACAGCGACGTGTCACACAGCAAGGACGTGTCATACAGCATGGACGTGTCAAACAGCAACCTGTCCTGCAGCACGGACGTGTCCTCTACAGCACGAACGTGTCAAACAGCATGGACGTGTCATACAGCGACGTGTCATACAGCACGGACGTGTGATACAGCCTGGACGTGTGATACAGCGTCATGCCATACAGCACGGACGTGTCATAAACATGGACGGGTCATACAGCATAGACGTGTTGTACAGCACTGACGTGTCATACAGCATAGACGTGTTGTACAGCACGGACGTGTAATGCAGCAAGGACGTGTCATACAGGGACCTGTCATACAGCACGGACGTGTCATACAGCGACGTGTCATATAGCAAGGACGTGCCATACAGCAAGGAGTGTCATACAGCATCGACGTGTCAAACAACATAGACGTGTCATGCAACCTGGACGTGTCATACAGCCTGGACGTGTCATACAGCGTCATGCCATACAGCAAGGATGTGTCATAGAGCGGCGTATCATAAAGCCGGACGTGTCATAAACATGGACGTGTCATACAACATAGACGTGTCGTACATCACGGACGTGTCATACAGCATGAACGTGTCGTAGAGCAAGGACGTGTCATGCAGCAAGGACGTGTCATACAGCACGAACGTGTCATAGAGCGGCGTATCATACAGCACGGACGTGTCAAACTGCAAGGGCGTATAATACAACATGGACATGTCATACAGCCTGGACGTGCCATGCAGCCTGGACGTGTCATACAACATGGTAGCAGAACAACACAAGGGGCCAAAGTCACTTTTTTAATTGAATACAATAAACATGTCCAAATGGAACAACGATGCCATTATGATCAGTCTACCCATCTAATGCATTTTTATTTTCTGAGATCTCAAATTGGTTTCAGTTTGTATGAAAAATATATTATATACTGCAAGTGAAGTTCTAATGTCATCACAATGCTGAAAGAAAAAAAAGTAAAATGCGCCTTTTGAAACATTTTACTCCATCTGTATATTTCAGTCTAAAATACCCCCAAAAGAAACTGAAGTAAGATACATAATCAGGTGACCCATGTCTGGGTTGACATTTGTTTCATGCAACAAGGACGTGTCATACAGCGTCCTGTCATACAGCAAGAACGTGTCACACAGCGACGTGTCAAACAGCAAGGACGTGTCCTACAGCATGGACCTGTCATACGGCGACGTGTCATACAGCATGGACGTGTCATACAGCAACCTGTCTTACAGCACGGACGTGTCATAGAGCGGCGTATCATACAGCACGGACGTGTCATACAGCAAGGGCGTGTAATACAACATGGACATGACATACAGCCTGGAGGTGTCATGCAGCCTGGACGTGTCATGAAGCCTGGAGGTGCCATACAGCAAGGGCGTGTAATACAACATGGACGTGTCAAACAGCATGGACGTGTATCACTGACTGACTGACTGACAGTTTGGTTTTACGCCGCTTTTACAACAACGGCGGGGATAGTATAGAACAACACAAGGGGCCAAAGTCACATTTTGAATTGAATACAGTAAACATGTCCAAATGGAACAATGATGCCATTATGATCAGTCTACCCATCTAATGCATTTTTATTTTCTAAGATCTCAAATTAGTTTCAGTTTGTATGAAAAATATATTATATACTGCAAGTGAAGTTCTAATGTCATCACAATGCTGAAAGAAAAAAAATGTAAAATGCGCCTTTTTGAAACATTTTATTCCATCTGTATATTTCAGTCTAAAATACCCCCAAAAGAAACTGAAGTTAGATACATCATCAGGTGACCCATGTCTGGGTTGACATTTGTGTACATTATGATTCCGGACACACACGTTTCTCTGTAAGAAGAAGCAGAAGATTTATGTTTTAACTTGGGAATATTTTCCAGGATGACTTCCTGTGCTGAACATATTTTTGTGAAAGAAACTTGCATACACTGAGATAACATGATTCACTGGAAACAAGACGAAATAATGCCGGCTATGTTTAACTTGAATTATTTGTGCAAGTGTTCGAGGCATCACAGCGAAGATCATTCATACGATGTTTCAACACCATATTGTAACTTTGGAGAAGTTGTCGAAAACGTTGTAACACAAGGTAAGCGGAATGAATTTAAATTCAAAGGTCGTATCTTAAAAACATAAATACATAAATATAATATTACGAAATATTACTCACAGAAAATTAAAGGACATTCGAAATTATAAATTTAACTTCAGATCTGATTTGACACCGGAACTAGGATCTTTCATGGCTCATAAGTTTGAGTCAGATCATCTTATCAACACATGTTTTTCAGTATTTTGTGGAATAAAGTATATTTTGTAAAAAAAGGACACATGCACGCTCACATGGACAAATTCATACTCAATATATTCATACAAACGGTAGAATGAATTTACCTTAAACAGAACAACACGATGCCACAAATCAAACATAGCGATGTTAACTATCCTTGAACATGTACACATTTCAATGTCGTAAATACTGTGTGGATCTGAAACAAGCTCTCCAAGTTCTCACCAAGTATTACATTCATGTTCGGTGAATTTCAAACCTTAACAACACACCTGAATGCAGCAGAACGTAACGGATAACAAGCAATAGGCCCCGTAAGTAGACCACGGCACTTCGCAAGACCTTAGTACTTCCGGTGACTGCGTTTCATACCTTTTCGAATGGTTTCATGGTTGTCAGTTGACAGTAAGGAACCGATAATCCTAACAGGAAAAACACATTTCCGATCTATCCATCCCCCAATTAGCCAACTATTACGACGCTCAACAGCTGTGACAGCCAAGCAAGGTTGTTCACTTGGCCTGGTCCAGTAAAGTCGTATTTGGCGGTCGCCCAATTTGAAACCAGAACTGGTTCTTGAATATACGTTTGTCACCGGAAATCTGGTTCCGGAAGTAAGCTGGGCCCGTCTCGCGCAAAGGGTGCCGGGAACCAGCTTACTACCGGAAGTAGCGCCTCGTGAGACTTCCAGGCCCTATGGCTTTAATGTGTACAATGTCATGAATATCAGTCTTTTAACTTTTACTGCGATACGAATCTTGTCTGCTTCTTGATCTGAGGATACATCCACAGAAGGTCGTGACAGGTGAACCCGGAGTAAAACTTTCATCGACCAAGCGAAATAGATGCATATATATGATTCTTTATTTGTGTGTATGTGTAAACTTGGTCTCGTCTGTTGTATCCCTTTTTGTATGTACATGATGTGGGGTTTACACACAGGAATGATATTTTTGTATAACAATATATGTTTGAAAATAATAGACCCGTGAAGATACGAGTTAGGACTGGTTTCAGCAATCCACGCTTGTCGTAAGAGGTGACTGACGGGATCGTGTGGTCAAGCTCGCTGACTGACTGGTCAGGGGCACTGAGATCATCGTATCCCAGTTTGACTCTATTGATTGTCTGGTCAGACTCAATTATTTACCGACCGCAGTCATATAGCTGGGACATTGCTGAACGCGGCGTTAAACAACAAACAAACATACAATAACAAACATTTTAATGAAGTCTTGGAATCGTTTTCGAGATACAAAATTAGACAGGTTAGTCTGAATCCTGGAACCAGTCATACCAAACAGGGGTCCTAAATAATAGAAAGTGTACATATCCCACGAATGAGTCCTCAAATCGGGAGGCAGAGATGTATAATATCGGAGTAAAAGACCTAATTCTAATGAGATTGTCATGGATCTAAGCATAAAACATGGGGCCGCAACACACAACCTTGCACGCTACCTGTCACAACATCAAACACTCCTTGAGAATGTATTGACTACCCGGGTTGTGAGAGGAATGGCGTTGTATTCCCCTGCTCTTCTACGGTATTCGTCCATATGTTCTTTCCTTGCCGGGCCCCAGTCGGGCCCTGGACGGAGAGTGCTTTTCAGCCTCTGAAAGGACACAGAAAATGAAGGAATGGTTTTATGCATCCATATTGTGCAGGGTATTTTATATCCACTCTGTAAAGATACATACATAGGATACATTTGCCTGCATGGCTTCGTTCGTTGCATTTTTGAGTGAGTGAGTGAAGGTTTAGGAGTTTAGCAATATTCCAGCTATATGTGGACGGTCTGTCGGGTCTGAACCAGACAATCCAGTGCAGTGATCAAAAGGTATGGCGAGCGAACACTTTAACCACTAGGCTACCCCACCACCCCTGGGGAAATGAGGAATAGGCCTCACACAGTGAACAAGCGGAGATTCCGATTCGATACCCCCTTACCACAGTAAGTGTGGGGGGCGGTGGGGTAGCCTAGTGGTTAAAGCGTTGGCTCGTCACGCCGAAGACCCGGGTTCGAATCCCCACATGGGTACAATGTGTGAAGCTCATTTCTGGTGTCCCCCGCCGTGACGTTGCTGGAATATTGCTAAAAGCGGCGTAAAACCATACTCAGTTAGTCAGTCAGTCAGTAAGTGTGGACAAGAGGCTGAGTGGATATAGACAGATCTCGGAACGTTATTGTCCTGTGTAACATATAACTTCCCGTAATATTTAATATAAATAATCTAATGTACCTACTACAGTATCTAATTGAGTAAAGGATAGGCACAACGCCCGATGGGATGGTATATTACTAACCATAAAGTGTAAATTGCCGATACGCCACACGTCTGCATATATATTGTTATGGTTTAGGGTTTTCTTGTGTCATTATCGTTGGACTAATCAACATAAAATTCAAAGTTAATTCGCCGAATTTGTCATATGTTTGTCTGTGATGGTATACTACTTGCCATAAAGTGTACATTGCCCATACGCCACACGTTTGCATATGAATTGCTATAGTTTAGGGGTTTCTTGGGTCATAAACGTTCGGCTAATCAACATAAATTTTAAAGTCAATCCAGCTGAATTTGTCATGTTGTCTGTATTGGTAAATTATTGTTTGTTGTTTGTTTGTTTAGAGATATATGGTGGCTGACCGTAATTAATCGAGTTTGGACCAGAAAATCCAAGGATCAACAGCATGAACATCGATCTACGCAATTGGTAATCAATGTTGGGAAAATACTTGTTTCAAGTGTTGGGTGTGCATATGACATGTACAAAATACCAAGTTGTAATCATAGGAAGAGTTTGCAGTGGTCACATATAATATACATTGTGTATAACGCGTTTTATCATAATCATTCCAAAAACAGTTACTCTTTGTTGGATTCTTTAGGTTAAATCGTTTCATTTTGTCTTTAATGATAAGGTGATTAGTTTCAGACAAAAATATGAAATACAGAAAACATACACTAAAGATTCTGTTTAAACATTTTGATTGTAGCTTATCGGCTACGGTAGTTCGTAAAATCTATATTCATCAAGACAAAAAATTGATTACGCAACAGTCTCTTTTCCTGTTGACTGGGTTCCGTCCTATTGCGCAACGTAGTACAATAACCAGTCCATAATTTTGAGACCAGTTCATTTAACTATATACATAATTATTAATCAGTATTATTTGATACATCTAAGCACTTGTATATTGCAACACGACGATCCTTCTAATCCTTGCAAACACGTCGTGCAGCGTGCTCTGTCGTACAGCGAGCACTGACAAACGGAAATACGATGGAAATACGATGTTATTAAAGTTTAGAATTAAAATTCATTTGTAAATACCATTTTCTTATGAAACAAGGAATTGGAATTCAGTGTAACCATAGTTGTTTGTGATGTCTATTTACACTTTCACACGAGAAAATTCGGATCGGCTGAAAAGTAGGTCATTGTCTGAAATGGTTAATGCGACTCATGTTTCGGTTTGGTACTGTTTGGTGATGGCGTTTCGCAGCTCTGTTTCGAATAAGGAAGATATGTTTGTACCTGTACGAAGAATTGTACCTGTATAAATGACCCCTTAGCCTTGACCAACTCCCAGACCATGAATACCGGGATCGGAATGACCGGAAGTACTGAGATGACGAATCCAATACCCCTGGCATATACTGGGTAGATATAGCCATCGTAGGTTGGCATCTTGTAGGTGTAGATTGTGAAGATGAGCGCCACCTGTCAACAGAGAATATATCATGATACTTACGTGCAAAGATTATGAGAGGTTGGTGGTAGGCCTCCTTTAACAAACGATCATGCGCAGGCAATAGAAATGGGTTTCAAATAAACATTCGAACCTGGGCCTTCAATGTGAGGATCAAACTCTATAAATACTAGGCTACCCCCACCACAACGTTTAACTGTGCGGGTAAGTTTATGCCTTCAGGAGGTTCCATTACGTGGTAAATAAGCATGTTCACCATTTAAATGATTTACCTTTTCCTGTGAAATATTACTCTATTTATCTGAGACCCTGAAGATCCGGGATAGAATTGGTCTTCAGTAACCCATGCTTGTCGTAAGAGGCGACTAACGGGATCGGGTGATCAGACTCGCTGACGTGGTTGACACATGCCATCGTATCCCAGCAGCGTATATCGATGCTCGTGCTATTGATCACTGTCTTGTCTGGTCCAGACTCGACTATTTACATACCGCCGCCATATCACTGGAATATTGCTGAGTGCGGCGTAAAACTAAACTCACTCACTGACTGTATTTACCTGATAATAAGATTTTATTTTTAAAACCATTCATATAGGTTGGCGGGCGAAATGAGAAAATATATGAATAGAAGCGATCGTATCCAAGAATAATGTTGATTTCAGTTGTTTATCGCAATTACTCTTAAGGGGCAGATATATGTGAAGAACATATTACAGTAATACAATACACATAACGGTTAGGACAATGTAATGACGTGTTAAAATTAATGCATATGTGCATTGCTTTTACTTAAAAGCGTCGGACCCGTGAATGTCCGGGTTAGAATATTGGCCTTCAGTAACCCATGCTTGTCGAAAGAGGCGACTAACGGGATCGAGTGGTCAGGCTGGCTGACTTGGTTGACACATGACATCGTATCCCAATTGCGTAGAATGATGATCATGCTGTTGATCACTGGATTGTCTGGTCCAGACTCGATTATTTACAGACCGCCGCCATATAGCTGGAAAATTGCTGCGTGCGGCGTAAAAGTCAACTCACTAACTCACTTAAAAGCGTCGGGTCCATGTAACCTAAATCGTAAAATGCTGAAATGTTACAATGAAGACCTGGGTTCAGTTCAACTCTTGGGTACAAATTGTCAAACCCACTTCTGGTTTCCCTTCCGTGGTATTGTTGAAAATAGCTAAGGGCACGTAAAAAACAAACTTACTATTTTAGCTAAATATTTTGTAACTACACTTAAAAACGTGCACTTACCAACATAAGTACTGGAGTAACGAAACACCAACACAGCTTCATGAGTAATGAAGGAGGTCTCCCAAGCATCATCTCGATGTCTCTGCCAAATCTCTCAACACCTATAACCAAAACATTTAATATGAAAAGAGTGTGTGAGTGAGTTACTATTTATCGTCACAACGACATATCGAGACGAGAACAATTAATCACCATACTAAAGATCAATATAGTTAGGAATGTAAAAACCTGTTGTCGAAGAACAGTAAAACTACTAGGGGTGGGCATTCCAGAGAATTTTCATATTGCGATATATTGCGACGCGAAAGCATATATTGCGATATGTATTGCAATATATTGCAAGAATTATTTTTGACAAAAACTACTTATAATCGAGTTAATGCTTGATTTATATAGCCAAAACACAACAAATCAACAAGGAAAAGAACAATCAACACAGTGGTTACTAGTTTGAACTCTCCAAAAAGCCCTGAGATTTTAGACAGCACCTTGACCTGGTCAGGACATTTCAGAGATCACAGGTCATTAATGAGTAAATATTTAAAACATTCAGATCCAGAACATTGGGAACAAAACTTAAGAACAAAACGTCAAACCGAACTTTCACTTGGCTTCCGATGTGAAAAACGGAAATATCCGAAGACTTCCGAGTGTTACGAAGTTTCCCGAATGCATGTCGAAATACCGGTTTTCGATCAGCGTATCGCAATACGTATCGATTTCATGTTAAAACCGGTAAACCGGTTATATTGCGCAGCCCTAAAAACTACTAGAGCATCACAGATATTTAGGCAAAGAGTTATCATTATGATTTACATCCTACCTTCGGGTGTTGGCGATTGTTTAGCAAATTAGCCATACGTTAAAGGAACAAATATGCTACTATTAACATTCAGAGAATGAAAAATACTTTTGAATGCAATGAGACTTACGTACCCTCTCACGGGGTAATTTGAAAAGAACTATATGAGCCTGATAATACATATGTTGACGTTATATCAGTAATACGATATACATGATCTTTAGTAATACCCTTGCTCATAAAACCGGAACAGCTTTGCGCAGTGTATTTACAAAAAGCATTGCCATAACTAGTACACATTGACGGTAGTAGAGTGAGAGGGTTTGGTTTTACGCCGCTTTTAGCGACACCAGAAATGGCTACACATATTGGGGAATCGAACCCGGGTTTTCAGAATAACGAGTGAATGCTTTGACCACTAGGCTACCCCACCGCCACTGACGGCAGGAGAACTTTACAAAAAAACAAACCTACGAAACTTTCGTAAAGTTGTAGTGGTTACCCTATTTAATATCGTTTCCACAAAAACTGAAGCACATCCGCAACGATTCTTATATTTTCCTTAAAATCTGAATCAAATCCGTCGTGATCATACTGATATGTTTGGCTGACACACTAGAGATGGGTCAAATGTGTCTGACCATAAAGTCAAGGTAACCATTGTTTCATGGGCTTAACGACGGAAAGGAGGCAATCTTATACATGTCACACTAGGATAGACAAAAATTCATGGTTAAAGCCAGTTGACCAAACAAAACATATACAACTACAGTGCGCAACGTCCCACTCAACCAACCAAATCGACAAGCGTGACCATCAGATTCATTGATTGGCCTCCTACGACCAGGGTTGGTTACTTACAAGGAACATTCATCATTCTCATTTCAGTTGAGAAATCTATTGGGCGATCTGTAACAGTGAGCCATTTCCATCGAAATGGTTTCAGCTCTGTACAAGACACGAAGTTCACAACTGACTGACTGACTGAGTTTGGTTTTACGCCGCTTTTAGCAATATTCCAGCAACATCACGGCGGGGGACACCAGAAATGGGCTTCACACATTGTGCCCATGTGGGGAATTGAACCCGGGTCTTCGGCGTGACGAGCCAACGCTTTAACCATTAGGCTACCCCACCGCCCCAGTTCACAACTGAATGCGTCAAGGGAATACATACCGTATATCCAACCAATGATGATGCACTCCAAAAATGACGTCAGAAGAACACAGAATGCTGCAACGAACCAGTCTAACAGTTGGAAGACATAAATCCCACCCTGAAACAAAATGTGGAGATGTGATATGTTATACATGTCATTCCCTGTGCTGCAGAGAGCAATGTTGGCATCAACGAAGGAACACAAGATAAGCGATCCCTTTCTCATCATTTATCACAGTTTCAAATGATAAATGTGGTTTGATTTGAGATCTGACAATTTGAGATTCATCCCGAGATCATATGGGGTAAATCTGTACATACAATTTTGTCAGTCAGAAATAACGTTTCACAAAAATGTTGTAAATAATTGACCTATTTAGTTCTTCCATTCCTTACTTCTACCCTAGTGATGCTCTCTGTACAAAGAGTTCACTCTGCCAGGGGCAGCTTAAAGGAACTACAGGGAAAAGGTTGAGCTGTAACCAGAAGGGCATTTACGTCCGATTTCATTCATCACTTTAAGCAATAGTCAAAACAAAATCACTTTAAGCTAAAAAGGACTACATTTCTGAAATCACTTCGCAATAACAGGGTTTTCAATTTATGGTCGGAAATCCGGCTTTGTGTTCGATTGCTCATATTGGAAATTAAAGTACAGTGTATGATGTTCACAGATGGCCGAATATTACTGACGTTATACATAAGTTTGACCACCGGATCTCAGGTCAACCACAGACAATCAAAGTTTTAAAGATTCAGAACCGGAGACACAACATTGAGCGTCTGTCATCAAAGTTATCTTGAGCTATGCACAGACGTTTCACATACAAGTGTAAATAATTACGTTAACTTACATTTGTAGCAATTGGAAGGGCTACTAAGTAGCTTATTGCTGCCAAGGAGGATGTTACAAGCAGCCTCTTCTTCCTCAGCTTGTTTGGAAAGGCGTCTAAAATGCCGCTAACAAGTGTCTCGAACATCCCAAACTGTAAACGAAATGTATTATATAATTGTTAAACATGGTTAATTGTTAAGCTGTTCAACGTAAAATCACTATTAAAGAAACAGGTCGGGATGAGATGGACCGTCTCTTGGGATACCAAAGGGACATGCAATGTTTTATGACTATTTTCTGGCACTGATTTATAAACAATGGTATGTTGAAGTCGAAGGGGCATATGAAAAAAATTCGAGATATCCGAGGTTCCACTATACCGAAACATACATGAAAAAATAAAGAATACGATAGGACCGAGCTTTTGTTTAGGACAACCGGAAGTTCGACTAAACATGATTCGACACAACGGTTTTGGATTGTAACTTGTAGCTGAAAAGGGTGGTTCTGTGCAAAAGTTGTTCTGACAAATAACTGTTTAGTTCTTCCTCTCCGATAAATGCTTGCAAGTGGCGACAAACGGATCGAGTGTTCAGGCTCAGCTTGGTTGATGCGATCGTATTGATAATGCATGGGTGGATGTCAATAGGGATTCCTCTACCAGACCCGATTTTTTACAGACCCCCATCATATAGGTGGAATATTTCCAAGTGATTTAAAGAAAACAAATCATATGCTTCTGACCTGACTGTCCAGCCCGAGGAGGAGAAGCATAAAGAAAAACAACACTGCCCATATTTGCGGAAGCGGAAGTCGTGTAATGGCTTCTGGGTAGGCTACCATAGCAAGGCCTGGACCTGTGGTAATAGGACATCCATTTTACGCTGGTTATGGTTGTACATTGTAAATACATGAAGCTATAACTAACATGGAATAACAGGCGTACCTCGTATAGTGCAATTGTAAGCTTCCCGTGTCTCAAAACTTCAGCACAAATTAAACATTTTACGATATAAAACCATCATCATCACCATCATCACCACCACCATCATCATCACCATCATCATCCAGTGGGTACTTTCTGATACAACATACACATATCAAAGAAACAAAACCATCCCCAACATCATCATCATCATCATCCTACTCTAAAGTGAGTACTATTTTTAGCTATCTTTGTAACACACCGGTAGTATACTTTTAGTCGCCATTATTACTTTATTTACTGTTTGAGGGTAACGCATGCATCCCTAGTGTCTCAAATGTAACACACTGACCTTGTGTTGCAACTTCAGTAATAGGTAGATTGGATTCTTTTGCCATGTATCCGATCACTGCGAAGATGACAAATCCACCGTAAAAACTGGTCATACCATCCGCCAGTGTCGCAATCACGGCATCCCTGAAAGGACATAGTTTACGGTTATAGCGAGCATGCTTAGAACAAACTAACGGATATAACGAACTGGTTTTATTGGCCCGGCCACTCACTTTATATCAAAGTCGACATCCGCCCAACCAACTTCGGCTATAACGAATTGAAATTAGTTGCCCCTTAGTTCGTTATAACCGAAGTATACTGTATATCATTAATCACGTATTGACAGCAGAAGGATTAACCGAAACTAAATGAAGGCAAACAAGATTTACGTCTAGAATATTGCTGAAAGCAGTCTTTGTATACAACAAGCAAAGGTATGTTGAACAACAAGGAGATGTTAGTTGCTACACGGGGCGGTGGGGTAGCCTAGTGGTTAAAGCGTTCGCTCGTCCAGCCAAAGACCCGGGTTCGATTCCCTACATGGGTACAATGTGTGAAGCCCCTTTCTGGTGTCCCGCCGTGATATTGCTGGGATATTGCTGTAAGCGGCGTAAAACCATACTCACTCACTCACTAGTTGCTACACCGAAACGTCGCTCATATTAATAATAAAGAACCATATCCATAGAATATAGAACAAACTTTATGGATAACAACTTCTTTTTATTCGTGAGTGCGACGTTTCGATACACCAAGCCCAATCTATTGTATAAACATCTCATTATTATTTGTACATTTGTCATTGGCTTCCACGCCTGTTTTTTGTCTACTCTCTGGCTTCATCAGCTTTCTGCCTAGCCAATTTATTAATTATGTTGTTTTCTTTGTTACATTGTTACATCCAGCATATATATACTTCCCCCTTCTTCATGTTCCATTATGCTTGACAACGGTACAAGAATCTGTATCGAAACGTCGCACTCACGAATAAAAAGAAGTTGTTATCCATAAAGTTTGTTCTATATTGTACTTCCCAACTTCTAAAATGCCACTCAAAGAACATATCCATAGAACTCCCCTCATTGTTCATCACACCAACTTTTAAATGCTACTCAAAGAACACAAAGGAATATATACAAGAAGTTCATTAATGAAACAATAAAATTCATATGGACAAACATATAACCACAATTTACGAAAACTTACTTAAACGAAACTTACTTTCAAAAATGATAAGGTATCAGTTCATTCTGAAGGACTGGAGCATATATATATTGTTTGGTTACATAGGATGAATGACATATTTCAGTACCTGTTTACAGAGAGTCCACAAAGGATATATTTTAGTAGTTGCTAAAAGATGACAGATAAATAAAGACTGGTGCTTCCTTACAGAAGATTGTGTGGTGGTCTATATCAGTACCTTTTACTGAGAACCGAAGGATTTAAATCAAGACTTGTTAATTGAGGACTGAAGGGATCTGTATCAGTACTTGTTTACAGAGGACTGAAGGATATATATATTAGTTGTTACTTTCTGAGGACTGTGAGATATATATGACCTGTTCCGTGATATATATCACCGAGGACGTATGAGTACTTACTTATTAAGGGCAGAAGGATTCATATCAGTACAGACTTACCGGAAACAGAAGGATGTACATCCATCCATACTGGCTGAGGACAAAAAGACATAACCAAGTACCTACTGAGGACTGAAGGACATACGTCAATACCTTTTTACCTGGGACTGAAGGACATATATCAATACTTGATATTAATAATGTAACCGATATTGAAGGAATGTTACTGATAACATTTCATGATCTTGATCATTCTCTCAAAGGGCAGAGCGGAGGAGTAGTTTAGTGGTTAAAGCGTTCTCTCGTCACCCCGAAGACCATGGCTCAGTGGTACATGGGTACAATTTGTGAAGCCTATTTCTGGTGTCTCAGACCGTGATATTGCCGAAATATTGCCCATAGTGTCATAAATCCATTAGGACTTACTCACTAAAACGGTATTTTCTTGTAATGCACATAAACGAAACGTATACCGCTGAGGGGCATTGCTGTATGTCCGAGTCTTCAACAATGCATCCAAAAACACGTGGGCGTTCACCTGAAGCAGTTGTTATCGAACTTGTTGAAACTTGACATCGTGATGAGACCTCCCCAAGCAGGACCCAGAGAATAGAACACCTGAATACATGCTTCAATCCACACCTGAAGTGAGTAAACAGTATTTCTTGAAAGTGCAAAAGCGATATCTTTCACCTCAACAATTTTGTCAACATTTCAATTGACTAAAAAAGACTTCCATGTGTATGGACATCACTGAACGTTCGTCAAGTCTGTTCATTTGCCATAAATCACGAAACAGTTTGTCTAATCGACCCAGATCTTTATGGATAGACCTCTACGACATCATGTAACAAAACAAATTCACGTCAATTCCTGTAATGTGATGATAAGGACATATTAATTAAACGCAGTAATTAGATCAGTGCCATGTGACTGGAAAAGAACCACTGTCACCATCAGACTATCACTGGTTTTCAATAGTGCATTTAGTGTCGTTATTAATACAAAATAACATAAAAGACAAACCCACTGCTCCTTTGCGACAGAATCGGGATTATGAGAATACTTTGCTGAAGAAGCTAAAGGCACACTTACATTAAAGTTCTTCAACTTGGAAAAGTCAGGCGTGACATAGAACTTGATGCCGTCCAGGGCCCCCGGTAACATGGAACCTCGGATAAGGAATATCGTCAGCAAAACATACGGCAGGAGCGCTGTGACATACACAACCTGAAATACGTATGGGAACGTACGTTTAAGTGGATGACTGGTTATGGTATCTGGGCATAAGTGATTTCAGTAACATCATGGTGCGTGAGCTTTATTTGAGGGGAAAGTCCAAATAAGATCTTGATGCACGATCGTTGAATGATAATAAATGGAATCTGGGATTTAAATCCACATAGAACGATTTAAAATTGGCAGGAGTTAAGCCGGAAGAATGCTCTCCTTTTAAACAGTTACTCGGGCATATCACGGTGTGTCACTTTACACTAGGTTAGCTGAAACATTTTGTTATAAAAATGAAATAATTTGCGGTTTGTGTGTGTAGCGGGTCAGTATTATGTTGTAATCAAATAAAGTGCACCATAACAGATTTACCCTTCCACCCTGATAACAAAACACCCACTCACTAAAACACCCTCCCAAACAGACGCACTCACCTACCCTCACATACACAAACACTCGCTCATCAGTGTTTCAAAACGCATTCACGCTCGCTCTCATCCGTCTTCCAATACACATGCACGACGTCGCTCACCCATCTAACCCCTACCACGGTATCCTCACTCACTGATCCTCTCCTACACACTAGCCCAGCGGATAAGTGCAATTTTTTCACTGAATTGTGCACTTTGTGTTACAAGCATGATTGTAGCTTATACCATTCTTATTGAATAAAGATCGAGAGGCCTCGCAGATTTTTATATATTTGCCATAATTTGGGGAGAAAAGTGAAAAAATATTATTTTTTATACTATTTTCGTCATAACTTTTACAAAATTCTCAAATTCTCATAAATCATATATCAAATGTAGGAAATTCATAGCTGATCATTTTACATCTATACATGTCTTTTTTTATGACCCATTCGTGTTTCCAAACACACACGCATCCATACGCACCCAAGTAATCACGAACTAACTTTTCGGTCCTGCCAAACACAAGCACACACTCACATATTCACCCACAGCCCTTCGTCTCACCTTGCCGAGGGACTTGACCCCCCTGAAGAGACAGAGGACTACCAGGACCCAGGCTGCCAGCAGACACAGGGCAGAGTGCCACTGGAGACTCCCGAGGTCTTCAAACCCGGAAGACTTTCTCAATACGTTGTATCTGTACAGTGAAAACTAGACATGAGCGTTGTTTATAGTCATAGTCAACAGTGAGTGAGTGAGTGAGTTTAGTTTTACGCCGCACTCAGCAATATTCCAGCTATATGGCGGCGGTCTGGAAATAATCGAGTCTGCACCAGACAATGCAGTGAGCAACAGCATGAGCATTGATATGCGCAATTGGGAACCAATTATATGTGTCAACCAAGTCAGCGAGCCTGACCACCCGATCCCGTTAGTCGCCTCTTACGACAAGTATAGTAGCCTTTTGTGGCAAGCATGGGTTGCTGAAGACCTATTCTACCCCGAATCTTTACGGGCCATAGTCAACAATATTGACGTTATATCTGACTCTATTGTTGTTTTACGCCGTACACAGCAACATTCCCGATATATGAGGGCGGTGTGAAACTGATCGTGTCTGGACCAGACAATCCAGTGATTGACATCATGAATATCTGTCTATTGGGATACGCAAACTATATTATGATCCAATGAAAATCGTGGGCCGATGAATAGTCGAGTCTCGAAAACGTTGAATCGATGAATAGTCGAGTCTCGAAAAACATGTGCCGATGAATAGTCGAGTCTCGAAAACTAATGGCCAGACTTAGGTGCTGCATTTGTGCCTATAGTCCTATGGAAATGACCGTATGACAATGCTGCAAATCGAATTGCTACACTGTGCTTATGAAAACGATCGTTTCCGTAAAGGAGTATTCGCTTCAGAAGTATCCTTTTGACTGTGTTTGAACATTTGTTAATGAGTTATTATCAAATACATGTCATGGTGAAACCAAGAGGTCATAAAGATGTGAACGTATCTGGTTTCAGAAATGACCCGTTAAACATAGAAAGACATGTTGAGTGTTTACCTGACAAACACGGGAACGTATATATACTGACAAGCTAAAGACACGAAACTGCATTGGATATATTATGGTTTTCACAGATGTGTCAAAAGTGGAATGTATTTTTTCGAAAGAATTAAAAAAATATAATGGTCAAAAAGGTAGTGATGGAATCAGAAATCGACAAATCATGAGCTGAGCTGAGCTGAGCTGAGCTGACATAAATGCATCAGTTTCTGAAATGACTGTATGACGAGCGTTTCAGAGAACATACCAACATGGTGATGCCTGCCACACTTATCGCCCACATTTCTGTATGCTGTATACTTTTTCCAGTTATCTCGCGTTGTGTCCGCATAAAAAAGAGAGGCAATCGAGTCGCGTTACACAAAACAGGGGTATCATGAAAAATCCGCGATCCTCTCATCCTAGCCGTACTAACGTTGGCCAGCGTTCAAAATTAACGTGGGTCCTTAAGCCTCAAGCCGACTGAAGACCACTCGGACCCACAGCTTTTGTTTTCTACAGGTCCTTATGGCCGACAGCTTTTTATTCCCAGTAACTCAGAGCATTATTATTCAGAAAATATCATTCAGCAATTTCTAGTTGTAAATGGAGACTTGTCAGTCACTAGAGTTCAATTAAACTCTTTAACTCAGTTTGTTAGTTGTCACATTTGTGTTGGCTGGGAATTACTTAAATTGTAGCTAAAATATAGGGCCTACACATTCTGATCAGGGCCCACAACTTTGTATGATTCTGGGTCCTTATGGCCTGCAGTTAAAGGACAAAGGGCAAACACTAACGTTGGCATATGCACATCGGATAACGGGTGGAACGTACAGAAAATACTGGCGAAAGTTCCATTTGCCTCTGGTTAGAAAAAGTGTTAGGATATGCTAGTATTGTGAAGTGAATTGGTTTCCTGATTAATCCTGTCGTTTAAAATGATTAAATTCTATTGAATTGTCGTTGCTTTTGATGTTGTGTTTGGTATTTACTATTTAAAGACTGCTTAGTGGTATTGTAACAAATTTACGACAGCCTTTAAACCATCTTGTCTTCATTAACAACGCTAACGCAATTGGGAAACGATGACATGCATTAAAACCAAGTCAAGTCAACCAAGCCATGACTACTGGCCAATTGAGTCGCGTTTACCACGAGTATGGGTTGCTGTGAATCTCTATTCTCATCCTGAATCCCTTAGGTTGGTTCAATTAGACAACTTGGCCAAATGAACGGCAAGATTTTTTATATATAGAAAACTGCCTTAACGGTGTTAGCATCTACACCGAAACGTCGATCTATTGCAATAAAGAAAATTGCAGTCCATAAAATTGTTCCTCTTCATCAAACCAACTTCTTAATGCACTTAAAGAGGTACCTGGGCCATTGTGCTTTGAATTATCATCTTTCTAAACATTTATAATGAGCTCACTACAAAGATGTCATGCCAGAAAGACATTAGCCAACGCCTTTCAAAAGAAGTAATTATGTAGTTGACTTAACATTAGTACTAAACTACAAAGTATTAAATTTCAACCATTGCTTTCATTACGAAAACATATTGTCATACGCCTGCATAACAAGCATTATCGCATAATACTCACTGCCAAAATTCTTCCGCTGCCGTTTTACCCCTCTCCTCAGTCATATTAAAAATGGAATTGTTCAGGAGACTGTAATTTGACCCATAAAATCCTTGGGCATCAGTAACATTGCACACGGTGTTGGTGGTACAGTTCGCCGTTACCAATGATGTATTAAACGTTAGTCGATCAGTGCTGTTGTGTGACGACCCCGTCATCCGCGTATCTATGCACGTTGGCGTGTTCCACCAATGGCCGCATCGGCTCCACGGTAGCTCCGACCGGAAGGAGTTGACCAGATAGTAGATGACCCACGTTATGACAGCGTTGTAGTAGATGCACGCCATCCCCGAGACTATCACCATGCCGTATCCGACACCTGAAACACAACATGCACACCGAGGATGATACTCGTTCCAGTGAGGGCTTCGCGATTGTCTGTTTGTATATTGAACGTCCCTATCCAAAGACATGATTTACCAAAGGTGCAGAACGACGTTTTATAAATGTATGAATACATGACGTCGATCTGAAAATAATTCATTCCGGACCAGACAATCCGGTGTTGACATTATGAGCATCGATAAATGTCGGGAGACGATGACATGTTTCAAACAAGTCAGTGAACTTGACAAACCCATTCCGATAGTAGCGACAGAAACATTATGAGTCTTTGCAATGATATGTGTTATGATAAGATAATTGGTAATTATAGCTTTAGTTTGTGGTATTAAAGACTATAACAAGGTGTAAAAACCTCAACTTTGTGTGCAGACTCTTTCCGTGTTGTCACAACCCCTTGTCAGCTCATTAATAACATAGGGGTGGACAGCATGGATCAGCTAATTAGTGTACTCATTGAGTCTGTCTTTTGGGAGCTCTGACTGACTGACTGAGTTTGGTTTTACGCCGCTTTTAGCAATAATCCAGCAACATCACGGCGGGGGACACCAGAAATGGGCTTCACAAATTGTACCCATGTGGGGATTCGAACCCGGGTCTTCGGCGTGACGAGCCAACGCTTTAACCACTAGGCTACCCTACCGCCCCTTTGGGAGGTCTGTCTTTTGGGAGTGAACGAGCGCATTAGCTCAGGCATATTTTTCTCTGTCAAGCGTGTGTTGCATGAGATAAACCTAGAAGGTTTTCCTCGCTGCCTTGCGGTTAAAGCGTTTGCTCGTCATCCCGAAGACCTGTGTTCGATTCCCAACATGGGTACAAAGTTTGGAGCCCTTTTCTTCTGTCATTCCTGGAATAGATGTATTGCTAAAAGCGGCGTAAAACAATACCCACTCAGCTCACTGTCACCATATTGCAAGAACCCGGTATGGTTCATGAGTGTGTGAGTTTAGTTTTATGCCGCTTTTAGGAATATTCCATCAATATCATGGCGGGTGTGATTTATGACATATAATCAGTGAGTGGGTATGTTTTATCAACATTCCAACAATATCACGACGGGTACTCCTGAAATTATTTCACAGATTATCCCGGTGTTCGGCCTGATTATAGAACGCTTTCAGCGCAGGCATCTGCAACTAGTATTAAAGAAATATCGTTCCTTGAAAGACTACCTTTAAACAGGGGGCACAGCTTCCAAACGAAGAGCGAGCTTGTTCCCGAGAACTGTCCCAGACATACCTCCAGGTAAAACAAGGGAATTCCGGCCAGCAGAAGGAATGTGAAGAATGGAATAAGAAATGCACCTGCAAGGAGAGTGTATCAGAGAATCGTGGATTACTTTAGCACAGTATATGCTATACGAGGGCGTGTCAGCTTGGTTTGGGAGAACGTCGAAGAAATGCAGACCACCAATGTTAACAGATTTGGGTAAACACACGATATGGTGCTAAAGTGTTGAAACATTGACAGGGCGACCCAAGGATTCAAACCTAGGATCGGATGTGTCGGGCTCACGCGGTATGTCACTCTGCATACCGACTCAAGGCAACTTAGGCCATATGACCATCCGTGCTATTGGCTGCGAAGAAAGATACTCACGGTTACATGATCTTTCATTAAGCGACGTAATAGTTAGGCAAACAGGCTGTCATATGTTTTCAGACACTTGGCCCATTGTATCGCTACGAAAGCCTAATGATGCATCTTTGTAGCATAAATATTTATTTATTACCGAACTTTCTCGACATTTTATGTACTTTCTTTTTAAATTGCATAGTTTTTATGTCGTTGATCGTGTTCTCACTAATTTAAGTATCGTTAAAAAATCCACTTTCAGTTTGAAGTATTTTCAAGTATTCTTTCCTTTGATTAATTATTTTCTCGAAATTTCGAGAATTTATATAATCTTGATACATTATATAACGAAAAAATATTCATAATTACGAGAATCTAATGCAAGAAACGAGGAAACCTTTCACATTGCGTGGAAACAATTAGAATTAGCAGGACAGAATTATCGAAGCAACGACAAAAAAACATTAAATTTCGAGTTTTTGAGACATAACTAAAAATCAATCGATGTAATAAATAGGCGAAATGTCGAGCTCTAAAAAAGAAACCTGAAAATAACTGAAGCATCGAGTAAATACTAAAAAAAAATCGTGTGTTTTAATGAAACTTAGGAAATGACTAGAAACATAATTAAGTAGCGCCAAAAAATCGAAATTTCGAATGTTTTGGGGTTTTTTTTATAAAAAAACAACAACTTGAAATAACACGAAAATAAGTGAGTAGCGATAAAAAATATCGAAAAATCGAAAATATCTGAATTGACTAGAAAATAATATAAGCAACGGAAACAAAACAGAAATTTCGAGTTTTTTTAATAAGCTGGACGCAATGAACAAATATTCGAAATTACGAAAGCATAATCGAGTTAACACGAAATAGATCGAATCTGTTGATTCGGAAGTCGAATAAAAACGTCCCGTAATCAACAGATTATCATGATTGCACCATAACGCAACATGCAAACCACATTAAAAATCTGATAGGGTGTTTTGATATAGTCTATAATTTGATTAATTCTTCACAGGCCGGTGTGGTGTAATCGGCTTTTTGCATTAAACATGAAGTTGTCATCCATAAAGTTGTATGTTTCATTTTTGACTCACCAACTTCTAGAATGCCGATCAAACAATCAGATATAAGCAAAGTAAACAAATCAAAATGGCCGTCGTTTTCATCTATGACGTCACAGCCCGACTTCGCTTGAAACTGGGATTACAATATGCATACGCTGACTATCGGATTTGAGCAGCTGTTTGTTACTTTTTAGAGTGAGTGAGTGAATGAGTGAGTTAGTGTTACGCCGCACTCAGCAATATTCCAGCTGTATGGCGGCGGTCTGTAAATAATCGAGTCTGGACCAGACAATCCAATGATCAACAGCATGCGCATCGATCTGCGGTTACTTATTAGAATACAATGACAGCACATATGACTTTTTGTGAATGTATACTGTGTTTGATCCTTTTAGACATATTTCAAAAAGTTGTGATTCAATATATCTCCTTTAATACACAACAAATCCTACCCCCGCCATTCCTGAGACACAAGTATGGAAACCTCCACAAGTTGCCGACACCCACAGCATAACCGATCAGCGACAACACGAAGTCCATCTTCCGACTCCATTGTTCACGGCCTTCATCTTGACCCTTCTTTTCCGGTTCCAGCTGATCCAAGTCTCCAGCAATAAAGGTCGCCGTCTCATCCTTTTCTTCGGAATGCATCTGAGGAGATAACGGTTTCATGGAAACATTAAGTTTTCATTGAATCGAATCAGTTTCAAGTGAGTGAGTGAGTGAGTGAGTGATTGGTTTTACGCCGCTTTTAGAAATATTCCAGCAATATTACGGCGGGGGGACACCAGAAATGGGCTTCATACATTGTAACGATGAGGAGAATCGAACTGAGGCGTGACAAGCGAACCCTTTAACCGCTAAGCCCCACCGTACCGAATCATCTTTAAGTAAACGTACAGCTTCATGTAGAGAGAACAAGATAATATATGCAAAAAGATGGTTAAGTTGAAGGGACTTTGAAAATAAGGAATACGCAGGAACTAGGCCTTTACTTCGTGACAAGCGTAAGTTCGACACGACGGTGTTTGACCTTATTGCCAACATAAATGGACGAATAGTTGTACAATATTGAGTGAATGTGTTTGTTAGTACACCTTTTTCTGGGGGACACCAGAAATAGGTTTCACACATTGTACCCATGTGGGGAATCGAACCCGCGTCTTCGGCGTGACGAGCGAACGCATTAACCACTGGGCTACACCACCGCCACTGTCTCTTTGTGAGCAAACACCAGGACTGGCTACAATGATTGGTAATCGGAAATATCGTCGATAAGAAAAATTATTAAAGATTATCGACATTAAATTCGAAAACGCGATTTTTATATCGATAATCATTAATAAATACATAATACATTTAACTTTTGCGATCGAAAAACGTTTTCACAAAATTTACAAATGTAGGACTTTATTCATGGCATGCTTCTAATTAATGTTCACGGTTCACGACGATGTTTCGTTAATCCATGCACAATAATCCAGTGATTTTTTCAGACAATTTGGACATTTTTGCTGAAGTTTACATTACGATATCGATAATCTATCGATATTTAGTTAACGATTATCGATCCCTATTATCTATATCGATAGGCAGTCCTAGCAAACACGTCCATATCTCTGCGCAGGTGCTCCATCCTCTGTATCCATGTATCCAGGGATGCTCACATCTCAAGACCCACCAAACAGAGTGAATGAGTAGGTATGGTTTAACGCCGCTTTTAGCCAATATCAAGGCGGGGGACATCAGAAATGGGCTTCACCCATTGTACCCATGTGGGGAATGGAACCCGGGTCTTCGGCGTGACGAGTGAACGCTTTAACCACGAGGAGCGGAAAGCATGCCATGATGGACCTATATATCTATGTACGGTCAATTACCTGGTTCTGATAGGCGGATTTCCGACCACGTGTAGATTACGCTACTGATAACGAATTATAGGAATATAAAGTTTGTTTTCCATTATTGGAGGGAGAAAAGAACTAATACCATATTCTTGTCTTGACCGGAGTAAATCTATTCCAGAGCAGTCACATTCCTTGGCTATGTCCCGCCTGTGTGAAATTAGCTGGTGAATGCTTTCGGAGTGGTTGAAACCGGATTTGTATAAAACATTGTTGCTATGCATTTTGTGTTTATCGTTACAGCATACAATCGCTATGGGTTTGGTAAGAACATACTTGCACCACCGTGAACCTACCACAATTTTTACATTAACAGTGAGTAACACCTTGTGAGCAAGAAAATCAAATCCGTCTTGTTCGCCTTCGCAATGGGATTGAGAATGCAACCTCGCTTTAGCTTTGATTCACAACGAGGTTAAGTAGATAAAGCGATGATCATACAATATAGCATTGGCATGAAGCAATAACATAATGTTTCAAAAGTATTAATATTCGTTCAGCTGTATTTTGGTTTACAGGTTATAATTCCCAACGGAGAATACATGTATCACGCCACAGCTTGCAATATATAGTAATGCATCAAAGCTTCACGAAACAGTGTCAACACCTGCCGGAAATGCCATCTGAAGTTTTCTGAGAAAATATTGGACATGTGAAATATGTGAAATATTAGACTTGTTCTGTGAGTGAGTCTAGAATTACGCCGCTTTTAGCAAATATTCCAGCAATATAACACACATTATGCCCATGTGGGGAATCGAACCCGGGATTTCGGTGTGACGAGCAAACGCTTTAACCACCCCAACGCCCCACTTGTTCTGTGAAGTCATACCAGTGTAATTTGGGATGGGACACATATACAAGAAGCAGGCATCACAATGGGCACTACCTGTGCCCTTGTCCTTGCTGATCTGACTCTCTATGCAAATCAATCGAACTGCTAGTGAACTGGGCCACGAATTGAACTTAAGCTTCTGTTAGGTCAATGATCAATCAGTTATGTACGCTACCACGAAATGACGGAAACCCGTTAATAGAAGCGACAAAACACTTTCCACGTCCATAAGATATCACTAAACAGAGTCGACTTTACATTTGTGACTACATCATGAGTAGATACTTGTTTCAGCAGTATTACAGCTGTACGATGTTGTTTTCGCTTCCATGTGTGGAATCCAACTCGGGTCTTTCGAGTGTCGAGCGAACGCTTTAACCAGTAATCTACCCTACCGCCCCGAAATTGGCAATAATGGCAGCATCTAGTTAGACGCTTGCACAGGGGCTTGTATTGCTGAAAATAATACGTCCTGGGTCCTACACGCGTACACTGATATCCATATACATATTCCTTCTTTATATGTATATGGATATCAGTGTACGCCTGTAGGACCCAGGACGTATTATGTTCAGCAATACAAGCCCCTGTGGACACTTGCGCTCAAGATTTATTTCACAAATTGTCTGTATACAGCCTGAGGACACCGACTGATTTAAAACAAAACGTGTCATCAAAGGAGAACCATGTATGCCAAAACGCAGTGCCATCAATGTTACGTTTTTAGACGAAATAACGTCTAATAAGCATATTTTACAATTGTAGGTTATGCTTATACACATTAACTTACCACCGGGTCAATGTTGAGGTCTAACTGGTTCACATGATCGTGATGAAATATACTGTTCCCCATCTCCATTGTGAAATGACTTTCAGAGAGGGAGGATACAGTCTTTTCACTTCACCACGAAGGGAATGACTGCACGTGGGTTTCTGAACGAGACATCTCTTGCCAGCGCCACCAAGCAGATAGTAGCAGCGAAAGTCACGTGACACTGCCTACATTTACTCAGCTCAAGCACACAATGCATTCCCATCCATTTTCAACTTGCATGGTTTTCAATGGCAGATTAAAGGATTTCTATCGACAGAACAGCTTCGTTGTAGCCGTGTCACAGCATGCAGAAAACCACATGAGATGCATGAAACCAAATATATCAGGAATGATAATGGTGAAATGTTTGCACCAATTAACTAAAAAAGAAATAACTAAAAAACAAGAAACAAAACTAACCGAACAAACAGCAAATAGTTGAAGCGAGCCCAAACAACGAAGAGCCTGAGTAATGTAAACATATAGGCTTTATGTGGACGTATTTCTGCAGTTTAATCGTGAATAAACAATTTTACTCCAACAACAGAATTGTTTAATAGCACCTGTCACCAAATACGTTCATACAAAGAACGAGTCGCAAAAAAACAACTTTGCACGATCATAATTTTACTAATCATAAATATCCGATACATTACGATTATTATCAATTAATATATGTGTTTTCTGTGTTTACCTCTTAGTTCATTTCACAAACTTCGCGTTTATGCTGCGGAAAAATGAATATGGATCGTATGCATGAGCAATGGTATGGAAGGCCACACATGCTAGGGACAAACATGATAATGTATTATTAACGCATGAAATCCATCTAGTTCAGAAATGTCAAAAAAGTGATGTCATTATATTTCTAATCGACGAACTTTTATGTTTCCTATCTTGTCTTCGTCCGTGCTTAAGCCGACTCCGTGGTGTAGTGGTTAGAGCGTCCGTCCAGATAGCGGAAGGTGACGGGTTCGATCCCCGGCCGCGTCATACCAAAAGACGTTAACATATGGTACTTGTTGGTCCCTGCATGACGCTCGGCATTGAGGGGTACACTGGTCGACTCGGAGTCAGTATAATGTGTTTGAGTGGGGTATTCATGCTAAACTGCGTCATGGTATCTCAGTGAGCTATCACTATAAAACCAGCTTCAGTCTGTGCTGGTACCAGCAGCCACCAAAACACACGCATGTACGTCGTCATATGAGCAAATATCTTTAAGTACGACGTTATGCCCCAGTTCACCCAACTTCCGAGTTTATTTACGAAAAAGGGATACATTTCAGTGATGTATATGGCCTTGCATTTCTTCTGTAGCTGTTTCTACTATTCTACGCAAAGTTTGCAAGGATAATGATTTGACGATATCCAAACATTATTCAACGAGTAAAAGTTGAAACACCAGTGCATACAGTGACCGAGTACCTCCTGGCGGCGGTCTGTAAATAATAGAGACTGGACCAGACACTCAAGTGATCAACAGCATGAGCAATTGGGATACGATGACAAGTGTCAACCAAGTCAACGAGCTTGACCACCTGATTCTGTTGGGCGCCTCTTACGACAAGTATGGTTGCTGAAGACCAATTTTGATCCGTATCGTCACGGGTCACGGACATAGGTATTAAGTCATGGACAGAATGCTTGAAAACGTGTGTCTGGATGTATGTATCAATCAAAGAAAGCACAACAATATTTGCTACTGAGGATTGCAACAAGAGCGGAATTAGGTGTTAATCGTCCTCTCTCTCGGCAACTCTAGAGAAAGTCGAACAATATTTCCTTGGCAACTATCCAGACACTTCTTGACAGCACGAAACAATGGTGCCAGGTTGAGATCGCATTCCGTATATCACATACTAATTTTCACAGCGAATTGTTCTTGTGATTTTTATTTGTTTTTTAAGTTTCCGTTTTTTACAGATGAACGTACTTGCTATTGATGGCATGCTGTTTGTTTGCTTTGTGTGGCATACGACGGTTTTCCCCTTCACTGCTCGGTCACCACTCAGAGGAAACACTCGGCTGCCAAGTCACCAATCAAGTAAAAGCCCATGCTGCTAGGTCACTACTCGGACATTTGTCCGCACTACTA